TCCCCTTTAGATGAGGGGATCAATACCATTCTCATGTCTGTCTGTTAAATATTGAGCTGGAGCCAGGACATGGTTATCTTAACTTACCTTAAAGACTGGAAAGAGGGGGAAACAGCTAGCCCTAGACTTCCCAGGGTCTTGCTGTCGCAGGCAACCAGCAAAACTCAAGAAAGTCACTGCATCCAACTAAAACAAAGGCATATAATCCCTCGTAAAACCACAACTTGTTGTTTTTATACTTGGAGATATAACATGTTAACAAGTGAGCTGTAGAGAGGTGCTGGTGCAGATTTTTAACTCTTAAATTAGCTGTTATCCTGTTTTCAGAGTTTTCAGTTTTTTATTTATTTTCTTTTTAAAGGGCCATGTACAACGTGCAATACGTGTTACCATTTGATGTATTGTATCAGAGTTAGTTTAAAGCTAGTTTTTTAAAGTTTATTCTGTTTTGGACAGTAGGTCAGCAAAATAAGCAATCACCTCAGACTTGGGCAAAATGTAATGAGCCTTTTTACCATTTTATGAAATTTTCTAGGTTAAAATTTTTTTAATCAATATGAGGACATGGCGAGCTGTCAAGTAGCTTAGCTTAGCACAAAGACTGGAAACCAGGGAAAACAGCTAGCGTGGTTCCGTCAAAAGGCAATAAAACCCACCTATGAGCACCAACAAAAGCTCAGTAATTAACATGTTATATCTTTAATCCGAAGGATAAAAACAAGTTGTGGTTTGGGGTGTTTTGTGCCAGGCTATTTCTTGGCCAGGCACAGTGATTTTGTTGTCACTGGGAGGTTGCCAGCCAGGCAACACGACCCCTTGTAAAACCACAACTTGTCATCTCTACACTTTACAAAAGAGATGTACCCAGCCCCTGCCTTCAGTCTTTATGCTAAGCTAAGCTAACTTGCTGAAAGATGTTGTCCCACATTGACCTCACAGACATGAGAGTGGTATTGATCTTCTTATCTCCTGACAGACTCCAGGACACCAAGGAAATTTATGGTAATATCACTTCTTTTCTTGTGTCCAGCTGTGTCCATTTTTGCAGTATGAAGATACAAATAAAAAGCTGATGTCCATTCTGACCTTAACCAGGAAAATATGAGCTGTTCTCCAGAATACTGCCTGCATGTAAACACACTCAGTGAGTCTCATATTGTACTGCTGCTGCTACTGTGCTCTCAGCGAGCCACCCTTGCAAATAAGAGGGCTGTGCGGTTAAGAGAAACCGAGGGGCTACTCCAAACACAATAACGAGCCGAGTCTCATTGTTTCCTCCTGATGGAAACTTAACTGAACCACCTGAAGGGCATTGTAACACTCAACGCAGCACGGTGCCTCCTTCCAAAATACACTGACTAGTTTGTAGTCTCAGTATTTATTGTTTCAAGTGTGGGGAAGCACCTCAGGATGTTTAATAGTAATGAATTAGACATTGCGTTTTAGTTGTGAGTTACAAAATGAACACTTATACAGTATGTGAGGATGTAAGGTAGTCATAAGCAAGTAGGAAATGCTTTGATAGCTTTATTTAGTTAATAAAGGAATATTGAAAATGTTTATGTGCAATGACGGTAGGTGCTCAGGGACTGCAGAGCTCTTCTAGGTGAAATGTGGTAGTGATTACTAGAAAAGTAAAAGGTCGATAATGATTGAAAATGAAGGGTTTCATTCTAAAATGCTGTGTTATCATGTGGGAGAAATTCATTACAAGTCAGTCTTTCAAACTGCTTGTTGTAAGATTTTGTCAAGGCTTCCCAAAGTTAGGTCATTTTATTTTAATTTCACCAGTCAGTTTGTCTCATTTTGGAATGAAACTCTTCAAATATTTAGAGGAAAACAAAAGCAAGTGATTAAAATGCTGGGTTAAAGAATGTGGATTATAAGAAGCGGAGAAGTTTTTCTGAAGTGCTATTTGGTGAAGCATGTTGTGGGGTATAGTTTGTCTGTGTGTGAATTTGTGTCTTTCATGGAAAAGCAAAAGCGATTTGTCTGTCACGGAGGTAGCTGTCAACCAGACAGGTTTATTTTGAGTCAGACAGAGATCAGCTCCACATTACCTTTACATTCTTGTCTTCTGGTTCAATGTTTTTTGTCCTTCAGGGTAGCAATTCATCTCAAAGTGAAAATGAGCTACGTCTGGTTATGTGATGAAGGTCTGGGAGCAGTTTCAGAATGATGTAATAGGTCGAGTCTGACTGAACTAAACCACAGAAAGTGTTAGTTTTTTCTTTATATTATTTGTACAGTAAGCCCATCCTATAAGCTAAGTATACGGTTTCAACAACCTGTTACACTGTGTCAAGAAAAAGAACAAAAAGAGGCTCCTCCTGTTATTGTCGTTCTAAATGTAATGTTTTCATTCAGTTCTCTGTTCTGCTCTATGTCGCCATTATTGTTCTTATTCTGGTTTACAGTATTAGTGGAGTATAGTCATTGTAATGAGTTTGTCGAAACGCAGATTCACGTGCACTGCACACTCGCACTTGCATAGTTGCCCAATTATTAATTCATACAAAGCGGGACTAAAAACTGAAATACCACAGTTTAAAATTCTGTGACCACTGCTGTCAAAAAAGTTTATTTTATTCAGCTGAAAAAGGGTCCAGAAATGACTAAAATGCAGAGGTAAAAATTTAAGCAGTGTTCTGTCTTCCCCTTCCTTCTGGCCACACATTTGAATGCAAAACTTACTTTCTTTTTCCGTTCTTTCAGTTTGTGCCTGTAGCTGTTCTGTAAAGTGCTGTATAAAGTAACCATTCAGCAAATAAGATGATCTATCAGCCTTTATGTCGGCGTTTTAGTCTGTGACTTTGTAGAGATTTTATTCATTTATTCAAAGTGTTCTGCAGGAAAATTACGCTCAGCCTTTACATTTGTGCCAAACTGTTTGCAGACATTGTGTGTCATACAAATTACAGGTATATATCCAAGTATATCTGCGTTAGTATGTTGTTGTTGCCCATAGTTTATTCACAGAATGCCTGGAGATGTTCACATTTAATGGTTTCCACTGCTGGAATCTGCTGGAAAAAACTCACATTTACTAGTTAATAAAGATAGAAAACACATTCCAGATCTACTGATACACAGTCACTGATGTCATTTAAACCAATGCGGAGGCAATACTATATATACCCTGTCAGACCAAACTCGGGGTAATACAAATAAGACACAGCCGGTCATACAGAGGTGCATACATTGTGATCCTTTTATTGTTTGCAGAGAGACAACGTGCAAAGAGGACAACCTCAACGACGCTCCCCTGATGTTATTTATCTATGTATGTGTTCTGTATGGTTATGCTTCTGGTACATATTTGTTTCTCATGTTGATTTTACAAAACATAGTTTTATGTCACAAAGCCACTGTCTTTTGTAAATAAATCAAATGTGAGATATATTGAAAAGATTTAAAATATGTCTCTGACTTGTCATGTTATTATTGCTCTTGTGTTTTTTTATTAATCATCACCAAACACTTACTCAATGTTACTTACTCACTTACTCACACTGCTGTTCTTAAGTCTAATTTTGAGACACTTACTTTACTTGACTATTTCCATTATCTGCCACTTAGCCTATTCTCACTTTACATCAGGGGGAAAGGGTCTACTTTTATTCTCCTGACAACTGGAGTTACTACTTTCTTAGCAAATTTCAAAACGTGGTCATGTTATAAAAGATGCTTTATTACATAATAAACTACACAGCAACATATGAAATAGTTAAAATGAGCTCCACCTCAACCAGCCACAAAGTTTAAAAATGCTGCCTACACATAAATGCATCAGTAATAATAAACTAAAATAATGATAATATAACATGACTGTTCTGTATAGTGAGTACATTCACTTTTGATGACTTCTGCTGGAGTGCTTTACCATAGACCACTTTTACTTGAGTTACAGATTTGAATCTACTTACATCATTGTCATTCATAAAGTCACTTCATAGAATATGGGAAATAAAAGTGACAGCTATTGCATTCATATCTTATGAAGAGAAAATGATTTAGAACATAAGCACCTGATTTTGCCATTAGGATCAATACTTCATTAATTTAATGAGCAAAAGAATGAAACAAGGTTTTGACTTACCTATACACCATAGGCTTGGTAACTGTGAGAAAATGGTTAAATAATACAAAGTAATATTGGTAATTAGTATTAGTAAATAGTGGGTCATTTTTGAGGAACTATAATTACTTTTCCTTTTACATCACATAGTACTTACACTTCACTACATTTCAATAGGAAATGCTGTACTTCTTTACATTAATATTGTTTTACAAATTTAGATTTTTTTTAGTATTCAGAATATATAATTCTAGCCTGTAACACTCCATTCTGCTGCATAATGAACACTTTTTCTTTTGATAAGAAGAAGAAATTTTTATTGATATTTCTCTGCTTCCACTTTTTATATTATGACATTTCAATTACTTTTTACACCTTAATTTGATGTGACGTTTTCATGCGTTCTGATACTATGACATTTTATGCCTTTTTATGACTCTTTATGCCTTACTATACTATGACATTTTTATGCCATACTAAAGTATGACATTTTTATGACTTTTCATGCCTTACTATACTGTGACGTTTTTATGACTTTTTATACATTACTAGACTATGTCGTATTTTTGACTTTTCGTGCCTTTCTGTCATATCACCTTTAAATGACTCTTTATGCCTTACTATACCAAGACATTTCCATACCTTTTCATGCCTTACTATACATGTCTTTTTTATTACTTTTTATGCCTTTCTATATAATTACTTTTTTATGCCTTACTATACTATGACCTTTTTATGACTTTTGATGCCTTACTATACCCTCCTAGGACCTGGCGTCCACATATGTGGACCTCACATTTTGGGTTCTCTAGACCACAATACTAACCTTTTCCCAACAAGGGCCTGGTGACCACATAAGAGGATATTATTCTGCCACTCAGTGGTGGCAGAAGAGTATAACACATTACAGATTAGATTCAAGATGGCAGACAACACCCCCAGACGTTCAAATGGCCACTCCCGATCCAAACAATGCCCAGGTAAAAAATTCAATCAAATTTCATGGTTGATTCTTGTTCAAATATGTATAAAATTATTCAATGTTTGTTACGGAAGTAAAATTTTACAAAAGTTAGGAACTGTAATGATTTACCATGCCGCTAAACATGATGTCCACATATGTGGACAAAGGGACTTAGTTTTGTTGGTTGGTGAAAAGGTCCACAACTGTAAATTGTATTCTTGGGTGATTTTGGTAGAAAACAATAGTTTACTACAGTACAAACAGATGTTATATGTTATAAATAAATCTACATAGATTTTTATTCGACTTTTCTCATGATGTTTTTTTCCATTATTCTATCTCAGAAGTAGTGGAGTTACTGGGGTTAATTAGTGGAGACAACTCAGAGGTGGAAGATTTGTCAGACATCGATGATGTAGTGGGGGATCCTGAATTTCAACCCTCACAACAGGAGCCAAGCGGCAGTGAGGAGGACAGTAGTGGGTGTGAGGACCCATTTGCGCAGCCCTCTAAGCCTATCAGCGGACGTAAACGTCTCCGTGATGAACATAAAGGATATCGTTCAGATCGTGACATCGCCAGATCACGCGCTCCCAAACGTCGCTCTCAGACACAGCAGGATGAGGCTGATGTCTCAAACAATGTCCCTGAAGAGACAACACCAGGACCAAGCCATCAAGAGCAGTCCAAGAAAGCGCGTGAGATGCGATGGACGGCTTCTCCGCTAACACCAAAACAAGCCCAGTTTGAGCATGAGGAGGAAACTGCGCAGGACAGAGAGGACTGGACCCCACTGGACTACATTGAACAGTATATTGATAAAGATTTGATGAAAATGATTGCAGATTGCTCTAATGCTACGTCACTGGCTAGAAGTGGGTACACACTCAACACATCAACTGACGAAATTTATCATTTTTTTGGTGCCTGTATTTGGATGTCTTGTGTACCATATCCTGCAATTAGGATGTACTGGTCCAACGGCTTGAGATTCCCTGCCGTCACTGAAAAGTTCACACGTGACAGATTTTTCAGACTGAGGCGATCACTCAAAGTGCTCATTGATTATGACGTTCCGGAGCATCGGAGAGAGCGTGATAAATTCTGGAAGGTGAGGCCTTTTCTGGACCGCATTCTGAAAGGATGCAAATCTCAGGCTCGACCAGAATGCGTTTCCATTGATGAGCAGATGATTCCATTCACAGGAGTTTGTCCGTATCGACAATATATACCAATGAAACCAAATCCAGTTGGCGTGAAAAACTTTGTTTGCGCAACAGCAGATGGTATTGTGCTGGACTTTGACCTTTATCAAGGTGCAGATGCACTCCTTGAGCAGGTTGAAGAACCAGAGGATCTGGGTTTGGGAAGCTTGGTGATAGATCGTCTGTCTCAAACTCTGCGTCCTAATACAAATGTTTACTGTGATCAGTTCTTCACATCCGTCCAAGCTGTGGAACACATGATGAAGAAGCAGATGTATGTAACTGGTACAGTTATGAGGAATCGGATCTCTGCAGCAGTGCAGAAGCTACCAACTGACAAAGAAATGAAAAAGGACGGAAGAGGTACCTCAGCACAAGTTACCACTGAGGATGGAAAGATTTGCGTAGTAAAGTGGTATGACAATAAACCGGTATTGATGATGTCTGCTGTTCATGGTAGAGAGCCAGAAAACACCTGCCAGAGATGGGACAAAAAACAGAAACGATATGTGACCATCCCGCGACCAAGTATTATCCATGAATACAACTCCAAGATGGGTGGAGTTGACCTTGTTGATAGAATGATGAGTTACTATCGCATGAATGGCCGTACAAAGAAATGGACACTGAGGATGCTAATGCACTTTACAGATCTGGCTTTAGCCAACAGCTGGCTACTGTACCGCAAGGACCTCAATCTATGTGGCACACCAAAGAAAAACATCATGCAGTTCCTTGAATTTCGAATGGAAGTGGCCATGACCTTCTTGAGTCAGCGTGACAATGACAACAACAACTCTGACTTTTCAGAGCTGGAAGATGACCCAGACATTTTAGTCCAAGGGAAAAAAAGTCCAGTGAAGGCAGTCCCCCATGTCTCAATCCGCAGGCGGGCTAATGCACATCTGCCAGAGGCAGTAGACTTGAAGAATGCAGCGCGCTGCAGAGCAAAAGGCTGCTCAGGGAAAACTCGAGTGCAGTGTGGTACATGCAAGGTTTTCCTCTGCTTACAGGCAGGTCGCAACTGTTACAGAGCCTTTCACACGTAGGTGTAAACATGTTCCAACGGGGGAAAAAATAGTTTGAAAGTCTTTGTTACAGACATACGTCTTTCTGCAACTGTTTTGCAGTACTTCAAATGAGCCATATTGCTCAGCACAATTGTTCTGTCTCATTTTGTTTTTGCACTCAGGAAAATACTGCTGTGTTCTGGCACCAAATAAATAGTTTAGCACATCATTACTTAATTGTGACTTTATTGGTTTCTATCTAAATTTAAAACTAATGTCCTCATATGTGGACATCATTTTTCTCAGAAACTATGTAAAAAGATAATTCTTTGTTGTTATACTCATCAGGTCCCAATCAGCCTAAATAGCAAAGAGAAATTAAAAATGCATGCCATGCAAGAGTTCGGGTTTTAGGAGGACACTGTGATGTTTTTATGACTTTTTATGCCTCACTATACTATGACGATTTTTTACGCTTTTCTGTACTATGTTGTTTTAATAAATTTTAAATGCCTTACTATACAATGTTGTTTTTATGACTTTTTAAGCCTCATTATACTGTCTTTTTTATGACCTATTATGCTTTACTATACTATGACGATTTTAAGACTTTTTATGCCTTACTATACTATGAGGTTTTATTGATTTTTTTTGCCTTGCTGTACCATGAAATTTTTAGGACTTTTGATGTCTTACTATACTCTCTTTTTTATGCCTTACTATAGTATAATGTTTTTATGACTTTTTATGCCGTACTATACTATGAGGTTTCATTGACTTTTTATGCCTTACTGTACTATATTCTTTCAATACATTTTCATGTCTTACTATACCATGTCTTACTACACAATGTTGTTTTCGTGACCTTTTATGCCTTATTATACTATGACGTTTTAATGCCTTACTATATTATGACATTTTTGATTTTTATATATAATTATATTATTATTATTATTATTTATTTATTTATTTTTTTTGGCTGAGGTGTCATACAGCTGCTTCTCTGTCCTGCCAGAACCTTGTGGAGAGGGTGGTTGGTATTGTCCAAGATGGCCTGAATCATTGCATGTGTCTCTCCACAACAGCAAATTTATTTTTTGTATTTGTGGAAGGTGTTTTATATTTACAGATTACAAATTTAAGCACAGATTGTCGAACTGTTCACACAAATAATACTGAAACAAATCTACCTCGATAACCTTTCCTGCTTCACCCACAAATCTGATACAAAAACAAACTGACCTTTTTTTCCCCTGTGGTATCACACACTCACAATGAAGGAAAACTATACAAGTTAGACGAGTAAGACAGTCTGACCTATCAGCATCCTCCTCTGATTTCTGGGAAGAGACAGAGAGCTTCCACCGGCCGGCAGCACACTGCTGTCTGTAGGTCATGAGGCATCGTCTTGCCTCTGCTGTGGCTGCTGTCCTCAGATGAACCACAAGGTGCCATTGATTCTACGAGAAAGAGGAGACGCTTCTACTTCCAGATCAGTGAGCCACATTTGACCTGCTGCACACACATTTCCTCTCCTTCTCTTTGTCCCTAGATGGCCCTAATCTGCCCAACAGGGAATTGCTCTGTGAGCCTTAAACCCTCTTGCATTTGGCAACCTGTAACATTTATCTCACTGTGTCTCCGTCTAGTGGGCATGCATGGGATAGTGGGCATGCATGGGATAGATATGTTGGTTGCAGTGGTTAGGCTGCTGAGGGGATGGTGATAATGGAATGAAAGTGATATGAGATTTGATATCTTTTTCTAGCTGCACTCTAGGAAATGAACTGGAGATGAAGCGCCAGATGAAGCTTCTGCTCAGGGGATAAAATCTATGTGGCCCACATCCGTTGTGACATACACGTACATATAGATTGACGGCCAAATAAGAGATTAGTCCAGTGCACCCAGCACTGTGACCGGTTTGATTTTCCTATTACTATCAGTACATGGTCAGTATGTCGTTGTCATTCAGCAAAATTGTGCAAAAATCATCTCTATGGCAGTGTTTGCATCCCTCATTCTTACATGTTGTTCAGCAGCTACATCACTGCCTATTAGATTTAGTGAGTAGTCCAAGAGATCCCAAGTTGAAAAAGCTTGGGAAATAGAGAAACAAAAGAAGCCAAGCTGACTTTGGCTGAAGTAACATTATCAAGAACAGAAACTGCAGGTTTCTTTTCATGTATGTTTCTCTTCAGTTTCTGTTATGCAAATGAAAAGTGCAAGATGACCAAACTTCTAGTGTTCTTACACACGAAAGGCGCAGGACTCTCAGTCTTGTGTTCTGCTATATTTCTGATATGACTAATGTGTTTACTTGATGAGCGTTAACATTTTTTTTAACTTCCTGCCAGAAGTTTGTGTATGTTATGCATTAGCCTACATGTTGTTCTGCTCTGAAAAATTGAAAATCTTGATAGCTTTATAGTATAAAAGCTTATAGCATTTTTTTTTTTTTTTTATTGTTTCCACATGAATCAGTCAAATTATTTGTAATTGCAGGAGAAGCACAGGTGGAACTAATAACTTTAATGATGGCTCTGCTCCAGCAATTAAAAATGTTATTAGTAACACCTGTGTTTGACAAGTCAAAATGTCTTTGTATTAGGATTGTATAGGAAAAACTGTATGTATCCCTGACCAGGATGTCAAATACACAGAACAACATGAAGGAGTTCTAGTAATGACAAACGTGGGCAAATGTAACCACAGCGCATGTGTTGCAACAGATCGGCTGTATGATTTAATACACTGCTCAAAAAAATTAAGGGAACACTTAAATCACACATCGGATCTTGATGAACAAATTACTCAAGATGAAAATCTTTACAGATGTGCATAATTTGTTAAGAACAAAATAATGTAACAGCAGTCAATGGGGCCAAAATGATCAACCTTAACAACCCATTGAGGGCCTTATTTCACAGAAAATGAAAATGAAAATGAAAATGAAAAAATTTCTCATCACAGGTTGATCCAAATTGCGTGAATTTCATCACGGCAACTCATAATGGGATTTGGTAGTTGTGTATGGCCCCCACGTGCCTGCATGCACTCCTGATAACGTCTGGGCATGGTGCTGATGATTCGGCGGATGGTGTCCTGAGGGATCTCCTGCCAGACCCGGACCAGGGCATTCGTGAGCTCCTGGATATAGACTAATATAGACTGTAGAATACTCTGAGCAATAACTGTAGAAGGCATATGTTGCACTTCACTAGGCCCCAAAACTCGCTTGAGGCATGAAGTAATTGCATGGCTGCTTGGGGCCCCACAACCACCAGGGGGCCCTTAAATGAAGCAAATTAAAATGGGAAGTCTCCCCAGGTTCCTGTGGTCATTTAAAGAACATTAGTGCAGGTTTGTTGTATATTTGTTGGTTGTGTAGATTTTATGGCCTTTTCAAAAGAAAGAAACTGCACTGCCTCTCAGTAATTTTAATTATAGTGAAATGTAATTCATTGATACTTTACCCACTGACTGGAAACAAGAAAATATAAAACTGTTGCCTTGTGTCCTGCTTTGTTGTGTTACTTTTTAGCACACCACATTTCTACCAGTGTTATCTTTCAGTATCACATAACACTATAAAAAATTTAAAAAAAAAACACTGTATGGCAATAATTTCCACTTTCCACCTCATGGGTGCCTTTGTGACTGTTGTGTGACCATGTAGTGCACATGAAGGAATCAGTGGTCAATGGGGTCAAACACATTTTTCTTAAGGGCTCAAAACAGGTAAAAGCTCTCCATGTTTGGCCTTCACAGTGGCACCTAATCATTGTATGAGGTTCCATGCAGGGATGTACACAGACTCTAAATAAGTGTAAATTAGAGAGGGGCACGCCACTTCGCACACGCAAATTAGGGGACATTAAATTGTCCAGTTCTGAAATGAAGCATGGGAGTTTTAAAACTGGGGGCTGATATTTAAGTGTAAAGGCATAAAAAAGTCATAGTGTAGTAAGTCATAAAAACTCATAGTATAGGAAGGTATAAAAAAGTCATAGTGTAGAAAGGGATAAAAATGTCATAGTATAGGAAGGTATAAACGTTTTTAAACCTTACTGTACTATGACGTTTAGTATTGTAAGGCATAAAAAAGTCATCTATCATTGTCAAATAGAATAATCTAATAATTAATTAATAAACATGTTTTTTAAAGGGGGCATTTGAGTTAACATCATATGAATGTGCATCTGCTTAATATAGTTGTGTGTGTATTTTGGGGTTGGGGCGCTTTATAATTAGTTATTAGTCTGAGACAACCTTCACCTACCCCCCCCCCCCCCCCCCCCCCCCCCGTCAATATGTGGTGGACAGGGTGTAGAACCGGACGGCTTTAGGACCCGGTGGCACCAGTAAGACCGTCGGCAGGCCCCTGCAGTGAGAGCGGCGCATCTGGCGAGGAGCTGGCCGGCTGGGGAGGTGGAGGACGGGGAGAGAAGAGGAAGGAGGCTCCGGGAGCAAGCGAGACAAAAAGGGTCAGGCCTGGGACTTGGGAAAATCGGGTAACGAAACACACAGCGACTCACGCATTTAAATCCGTTTAACCCGGCACCAGTAACCGCGCAGGAAGGGTAACCTTTATGTGAACAAAAACGTGAAAGCCCCGAGAGCGGAAGGCGCTCGATGGAAATAGGGAAATAGCGATTTAGGGTTTGCTTTTTTGCAGATGTGCTGATTGGACATCGCGATGTGTACTTGAGCTTGACCGAATTTACAGCACAGAATCAGTATCGCGGCTCCTTAAAACACTGGCCTCATTAAAATAAAAGAAAAAATAAAGAAAAAATATCGGGGGTTTATCCTTCAGTGGCCGTGGCCTGTAAAAGACCACAATCCCCTGGGTCATATTGCAGACTTCCCTTGCTGCAAAAAAGACGTCTAAAACTTTGCAATTTGAACGCATAGCCAATGGAATTACAAATGCAAGTCAGTCGATCGCAGCAATGTGAGCGTTTGCACTGATTGTAGTTTGGTGTGCATGGAAATGCGCTGACTTTAAACGCATGTGTGGCCTTATAATAAATTACATTTTTCAAGATAACGCGTTCTGGCTGTTGCCTGCAATTATTTTTCAGCAGCGAGGACTTAATCCCAGCAGCTCATTAGACCCTCTAAATAAATCACAAGCGATTGTCATTAGTCTGGACTTAACCCTTTCGTGGAAACGTCCTGTGTGAATATAGATACATAGGCCTATGATTATTTTAGCACATTTCCACGAGTTCCACCGTGTAACTGTGGCTCCGCTGTGTGCGCATGGCTGACTGCTGAAGTAACTTTAACCCAGACTCTAGAGGTGAAAATTAAATATGAATAATATTATTATAAACCTTTATAATCATCCTCAGTTTCATTTGCAGCATTATTCGAGTTATTGTGCAGTTAGCAGCCATTTGATGTCAAGTACTGTACGTCCATACATCCATTTGGTGTAAAAAGTGGCCCAGGCCCTATAGGCGAGAGCAGGCATACAGTATCCTATAGGCTATCTCAGCATGAGAGCTTCCTATATGAGTCACAAAGGGAAAGCTGATGCTCAGAAATTGTCTCTTTATGGCAGAAAATAAGATTTGAACTAAATTGATTTGGTGAAATATGCACTGCATGAAACTCCGGTCACCTCTGAATCAAAGCATCACAGCACTAATGCAAAACTAAAGTGGATCTAATGTGTGAGAAGCTGATTTGTTGTGTTTCTTCTTTATCTTCCAGGAGCGCGGAGAGAAGAAGGATCATCTCTCACTTCTTTCTTTTTTTTATTCCTTTGAGTTTATCCTCACCTGAAACTTCCCCCCTCATCTACATCAGCCCATCATCAGACATTACCCATACTCCCATAAGACTCTTCAACGATGCCGTCCAACACTGTCACCAACACCAACACCACTGCATTCAAAGGCTCAGACTTCACCGACTCACCTGGAAACAGAATGGTAAGAAACACGTGTGAAATATAAAAGTGCGCCTCAGGAGTCTCGCGTAAGGAATTTCGGAGACTCCTCTGAAGCTTGGCATGTCAGTGAATGGCTCAGGATCTCTCAGCTTTATAGCCTGCGGGTTTAAAGAGTTCATTCAGTCATGTTTTGGTTTTTTGAATGACTTGAGCAAAGCTGTTGATTAATTTGGATTTGACAGTCCATCACTGCAAAGAGCCTCAAACTCACTCAGAGCTGATTTGAAAGGAGATTATTCACTGCAACACTGCTGTAGTACAAAGTGCCTTTTAGTATTTTTCCAAAAAATATCTATAAAGAGAATGTGAACGTAAGTGTGCATGAATATGTGTGTCTATCACAGGGGTTTAAGTCAAATAACAGTGTAATAGCGTTATTATTGTGATGGATAAAAAAGAAGTGGTTTGTGCAGTTACTTCATGCGAATTAAAAATTCTCCCAATTTTATGAATGAAGTTAATCAGTCAGTCAAGCTAATTCCTTATTGATCTCTGTAATCCAAAGATTTACTGCGATAGACTTGGTTGTATTGATTGATGGTCTGATTTTTTTTCCTGAAGCATCCACCAGCATGAGGCGTGCCATGTCACTTCTCATGATGCAGACAGACTCATTATCACAGGCCTTGTGTAACTGCAGCATCACTGTTGCTCCACAGCGGCGGCGTTAGCAGCATCACCGAGGAGGCTGTGGCGACGTGCAGCTGTATTATGTGACATTTGCTTGTTGTAATGGTGGTTGGTGACGTGGGCGTTGGCTGGTGTAGGTTGAGCTGGAGCTGGAATTGCTCTACGGCTCTTTTACTGGGGGGATCTGTCCTCTTCCTCTACGTTCCCATTAGACAGTACTGCCCTTAGTCTTGTTGCCTGGCAACAGACATTGCCTTAAATAACCGGCTATCCAGACAGAAATAGTGCAGCGATATTGACAGTGTGGTAGGGTTCACTCCAGGCTACAACAAATCATATTTCTTTTTTTTTTTCAGGAAATATTAGGGTGAAGCTGTGTGTGAAAATGGCGAGTTATTTTTTTTCATTCAGTGTTTCCGCTCTCAGGTTGAGAATTAGATGAGCGGTGTTGTGTAGGCTGCTCCTGCAGAGATAGCCAGGCACCACTGAATTGTGTCATCCATGTAAGTGGTTCCCAAATGAGCCTGCACACCAGGCTGCACTCAAAACGTGCTATTATCTATGCAAATTCTGCCGCCCTGGTAAGAAAAAACCAAAGCACCAGGCTCTATTAGTAATCATCACACAATGAACCGGCACCATCTGCAAAAAAAACACAAAAGCATCCATATCTACATTTAAAATAACCCCTTAAAGTCTTGTTAGCAACCTCTGTATTTTTATCCAGAAATTCACTGATGAGTATTCTATGATATTTTTCCATTTTTATCAGTTATAACCCTGCGCTCATTAATCACAGCAGCATCAGTTACTCTGATCACATGCATCTCTTTATGCAAATCAGTTTATCACACTGGGACACTAATGGTTGATGGATTTATTCCATATTAAGAGCAAACACTCCCTGGAAGTAACATGGCCTGACCTTTGAAATTCATGCCTCTGTTTATTAACATCCTCCACCTCTTACATTATTTAACAACTGGAGTCTGTTGGAATCTGAATCTCAAAGCCTAATTTTTGTTAAAAGAATATTTTTATGTCTCTTTTGATTCAACAGTAGAAAATACAGAGACAGAAAACAAGCAAATGTGAAAATTTCCCTGGGTGGTGGTACACATTACAAATTTTGATATATGTGCAAATGGTGACACCAGGATTTTCACAGGTTCACAAATTTTGATAGCAGTGATACATCACTCCAGCCTGTCAATAACAGAGGAGCTCATCAACGGTTTTTCCATTATTAACCCTCAAGTGTCTCAGGACAACATTGGGATCAAACTGGGGATCTCGCAGTTACTTAGTTACTTAGTACCCCATCATAAAACACCTCGCCCAAATAGTCATGAAGTAGTAGCAGTAGAATAGTCTTGAGATCATATATGTTCACTTTTTTTTTTTTTCGCAGCACGGACTCTTTGTCCATGTTGACTTAAAATGTGGGGTTCAGAGTTTACTCTCAACAGCAGCTGAGAAAACAATCTCACCACAAGGCCCATTCAGTAGCTGCTTCTGATATCACATGAGTTTGCCAAAGGGTTTTAAATCTAACATGGACAAGACAGGTCCTTTAAGTGCATGGGGAAAAAAACAACTACAATTTCATGATGAAGATCATGTGATAGGACCACTTACTAAATGGACCTTGTCATCCCTTGTAAAACCAGGATGCAAAACTAACTCACAAATGCCGATACTTAAAGGGACAGATATACGTACATGTCTAAAGTATACCACTGATTGCTACGTAGCCTGCATAGCATACGTTTTACACTTAAATGCTAGTTTGTATTTGCACTTTCCACTTGTTACCAGGTAGTTTTGGGATAGTTTTAAGCAGGGAGATGATGTAAATGCACATGTGCAGTGTAAAGTGTTATAAGCTAATTTGCTTCTTATTGGAGGTATTGAGAATGCTGCACCCATCTCTAGTCTCCCCTACTTTTCTTCTGTGTTTCGGTCACTGAAGTTTCTTGCTGTATTTAACGCCATCCATTATACAAAGACAAGGTCATGTAGTATCCTACAGTAATTGTCTCTCATGTTATTCTGTGTCACAGCTTAAAATAAAAGTTTTTAACAACAAGTCAGCAGAGGGTCTTGCAGTAATTGTGCGGGGAGCCCATTTATCTTTGAGGGAATCTTGCATTCAGCACTGAAGGAATTTAATAAGGACCCTGCCCTCCCCCCCACTGCAGCTGTCAGGAATGGTCTTGCAATCTTATTTGCATTCAGACCTGGTGCTGGTGGTCCTATTCAGTCAATATTGACACTCAAAGCATCTACATTAGGATCATCTTTTCTCCCAGGAGCACTTGGTGGTGGCGGACATGGGGCTTTGTTCACAGGGGCAGACAGTTTTATTAATCAAAAAGAAATTGCAGCAAGGGAAGGTGGGGGCCGGTCGACGTCTTTGTAACAGTGTCAAGAGGGGATTGTCTGTGGAAGGTCAGCGCTGCGTCCGCAGTTCTTTCACTTCAGCCTAGTTCAAAGGAATGTGTCATTCAATTTCTATCTGTCTCATTGTCCACTCAGCCAAAGACACTCAAGGACCCGCTGTAGCCCCTCCTTCCTTAAATGTTCAAGTGTTTTAGCGAGGTGCAGTTTTGTGTGTGTCCTGCAGATGTAATATCACTCCTGCTGCATCTTTGGCTGAGGTGAACTGCCACTTAGTTCACTGGACAAATACAATCTCATAACCTGGAGAGATGTAGCGTCGTGTGTGCATCCAGCCCTTGAAAGTAAACTTGACATTCCCATGAACAAGTGCACTGTTGCTTCAATTATTGCAGGATACTGTGTCTGAATCATGGTGTGGTCTTTTTGTTCACAGGGTGAGAGCACAATACTGGACATGGACCTGAGGACAGAGGAGAAGTTGGCTAAAAATAGTGCCTCTTGTAAAGTTGGCAAGCCTGGAAGAAAGCGCAAGCAGTTTCCAGTGAGTGTTGATCTGACATGTCAGAAACTTTACATTCACATCCATTCATTCATTCTTGTGTTTTAGTGATTTACTGTCAGTTTTTCGCAATGTCAAGATTCAAAATCAGTCAAGATCAGATATCAACTGGTCCTTGAGCACAGTAACATAAAATAAATCTGTAAAACTGCTTATTTATTTCTTTAGTTTGCACATGAGGGATTTTTGTGAAATAAGCCTTAGATTCTTCCATCACTTAAAGAATTTCTTTAGCCTGGGTTTTAATGGGCAGTTTTAGTGTCCAATGATGTTGTAAATGGTTTAAGGTTTAAGCAGAGTATCCTCGATAAGAACTGGTTCATACAGAGCGTCCTGGTAGCAGAGTGGTCTCAGCCACAGTGTCTACAGTTTAATTTCAGCTGGGGACCTTTGTTCCACTTGTTTTTCCGTCTGCCTCTTCAGTGTCAACTGTCAAATTAAAAAATGGCAAAACGGCAAAAAAAAAAAAGAAAAAAAGAACTAGGTCATACAACATGTTCATGCAGTCACATCTGAAGGCAGCTGTTCTGAACTGCCACACTCAAAGACAGAGTGAGAATTCTGCTGACAAACATGGGTGTAAACTGTGCATGTCTTCAGACTCTCCTGGAGGGCATTCAGGGTATTGCACTCATCTGTTCACGTGAAAAGTGACAGAAAAAGAGTCTGAGAGACCTTGATTACTTTCTCACTGCGTGAAGTGAATTGTCGAACGTAGCCTTCGGCATACTGTCATCAGAAAGGTGTGTGTGTGTGTGTGTGTAGGGCGTTTGTGTTGGAGTGTAATTGTGTCCTTCAAACACAGTGCTTGTTGGATCATCAAACAGCATCATACCCCCCCCTCCCCCCACATCCTAATAATCACACTGAGTTGCCAAAACCAACCATCAGACATTCACACCCATTTCACACGGCAACTGGCCAATATGTGGTGTCTAAGTATTTTCTTTTTTCATTCATTCATTCATTCAGAACGAGTGTGACACCGTGAATGTCTTCGAGCTGAGACTATCCCCTTCCCTGTGAAAGCAGGCTTTTCAACCCACTGTCAAGTGTGGCCTTTTGGAACAGCTATAAACATTTTGACAGATCATATGAACTATACATAAGCATAACCCAGCCGTGATAGTCTAAATGCTAGTTGTGAATGGTTAAAGTGAGTAGAATAGTAATATCTGCACAAGATATTCCACCTATCGGCAGCCTCAGTGTTGTACCAGCCTTCAGAAACCCGTTAACACACCACATGTACCTGTTTGTACTCATGAATAAACATCACACAGTCTCCACTATGTTTCTAAGATGCATGCCGACACTACACCAGCACCATTTGCAATCTGTTTGTGATGCCTTTTGTTGTTAAAAGCCCTGATTTAATAATGACTCTTGGGCCAGCATGTATCTGGGTATTTTTTTTTCTCCCTGAGATGTTATCATTTGCATAAGCCTGTGTTTAAAATCATGTTAATTAATTCTCACAGGGTGATTCAACAAACAAAAAAGGAGATTAGAAAAATATTTACCGATAATATATGGTGGGGATATCCCTGAGGGTTTGTGTCGGTGTATTTACAGCAGCTGGCTGGTAGCACCAATAACAATACTACAGTCAAATAGAAATAGTAGAAAAGGAAAACTATACTCAGATGCTCCAGTCACATGGGTGTTTGACTCTTGGTGTTATTCTTCTCAGAATGAGACAGTCACTCAAACATGTACTTGCCAAATTGAAATGCCGTCCAAAAGACACTGAAGGCTCTCTGACAGGCATCAGTGCTAGTTATTAAATCTTTGGTAGAAAACAGAAGGTAAAGCTGTTAATGGCTAAAAAAGGTGGTGTATCATTAACCCTGAGTCCAGCCCTCCAGAAAAATTCAAAACAAGGCAAAATATTAACTCATTCACCTCATCTCACAGGGTCTTACATTTTAAATATTAACTTCTGTTAACTGCTCTTTACTACCAGGGGTCCTGGCTGTTACATTCAGTGCTAGTCTGAAGGAGGTAACGAAATGCTCAGCTGGTCACATTATTCAGTAATCTGCTCTAAATTCCTAATATAATATTAACACCTAATTTCCCCCCTTGGGATCAATAAAGCGTCATCTTATCTAAGACAAATTAGCTGCATGTTAACATGTAACCAAGTTGTTTTATATGTAAGATGAAAAATGAATTGTTAATGAAGCAGCATTAATAGTTTTTTCCCCATTCATCTTTTAGCTCTCTTTTTGTTCTCTACCAACTTCTGAGGAAAATATCTGGCTTTTTAGCTGCTAAATGCTCCACTGTGTTCATTAGCTAGTTGCTAACTGTGTCTGTCTGCAGTTTGGTGCGGGGCAGACAGTGTACAGTGGTTTATCAGAGCCTTTTAGCTGAGAACAGCTACCTGCTGCTGCCAAAAGCAACACTGATATTAGCAGTGAGAGTGAACCAAAACAGTAAAGCTGCGGGCTGTAAAACCAAAAGAATGCGCTGAAAGACGCTAAAACACTAATGTAGAGCTAAGGATCTCCAAGTTGGATGATATTCATGAATAGGTTTATCACTACAAGTGATGCCTTTCACATTACATATATTCTCCTGATCCATTGTTAATATGAGAATAGTGATAAGTGCAGCTTTGATAGTTTATTTAACTTGTTATATACCACTGCATTTGGCAGCACGATGCTGTGGAAGTTGTAATGCTGCAGCAGTAAGTTGGATTAGTCAGTGTTTTGTTTTGACCTCTGTCTGCATGTCTGTGCAGCCTGATTTACTGACTGTGAACTCTGACCTCTGGCAGGGGCCTCATGTAGTTCACTGGGTCACTAATCTGTTGCGTAATTCTTTCAGCGACAGTTGTGTGTACTGTTTGTGTGTGAGCATATTGCCTGAGTTTGTGCATGTGTTCGACTTTCTGTTTGTTTCCCCGTCTGCCTGCTTTTGCATTTGTGTGTGTGTGTGTGTGTATGGGCCTAAACCAACTCACACACTGTAACCTTTTTTCTAGTCATGAATTGATTCAGAATATTAATATTGTTTGAGTTGTGGGTTGTTGTTTTCATTCGTTCTGTCAAATAGATTTAGTAGAGCGCTGCTCCAGTGCAACTGTTCAACATTTACAGTTAATTTGTTCTCAGTTACTACAATGATGAAGTCATTTAGAGTCTTGTGGCCTGCGAGGAATGCTTAAAAACCAACTTTGGCTTGATGTATCTTAGTTTTTACGATACAGTACGACTTTCACTGAAGTTTATTTTGTTCCTCTGTTCCGCATAATTTGCATTGCATTTATTACACAGACGTTTTATAGGTCTCTGGGTCACATTAAAGCTAGTTTACATTGTGTTTGCCTATTCAGTCTGCGAGAATTAGATTACGTTTGACCTTTTAGCCTCCAGCGCAGGGTCTTGTGTTTGCTAAATATCTTCTGTTGACAGACAGATGCCTCCTGAGGCGTTGCTGTCGCCTGGCTTCAATGCAAACTGCTGCACCTACATCTACAGGAGTTGAAAGCTTCAGCGCTGCTCTCATCACTGTTGACAGTCTGATCTCACAAGACATGCTCCACTTTCTGCTCCTAGTGACCCAGTAATGGGATTGTCTGAAAAGTGTGTTTTTTTATGGCTATTTTTAGGCAGCAGCAGAGACACTATCACATTTACTTAGATTTGAAACAAATCTTTTCTAGGTCCTCTAAGACAGCCGGCACTTTTTTTTAGCTGTAAGAGCTGAATGTCTGCCGCTTCAGTTAAACTGCAGCTTCAGATGGGTCAGCTCTCTTTGAATTTACTCCTCTGCATAGAATGAAATAGTTTAACTGGGCGTTCCAAACTGGACGGAGGGAAAAAACTTCTCCGTTGTCAAACAGCCAACATTTTTCACATATTTCCATGCTGCTGTAATGATGAATGCATGACTACAGGAAGCTCAGTAGTGTACCTGATGAACTGTAAAGTAATCCCTTCCTCTCTTTCCAAGTTAATGGCTGTACAGCAGATTTACTGGCGCAGCTTTGAAGTTTACAACTCCAGTTTAACAGAGCTAAATGGGAAATGCCATAATTCACTGACTAATAAGTGTAGAAGTTGAGCTACATGTTTGATTCTGTGCAGATAGAGCTGTGGAGGCATAAGGGATGAAATTAAGCTTATCTAATGTGAAATGGGTGAATGCTTTAATTGACATTTTCTTTCAAATAGCCCATTTAGCCAACATAGACTGAAGAGCGCTTATTCCCACTCTGATACTGCCAGCTGTTTCATTGGTACTCACTCTGATGACCTTTTTTTTCTCAAGCATGCTGGATGATTTGTTGTAAATCCTGGAAAGGTTTTGTTTATCGCACAGACAGCCTCGGTATATCCAGTGATATGTCATAACAGCTGACAGGCACAACACTGCCGCACACCTTCAGAACATCAAACTGTAACATACTGCCACAGCAATAACAATCTATAAAGCTGATAGATTGCCAGGATGTTAACATTTCAAGCCTCTTTTCCTCTGCCTGCAGGTCGAGAGCTTTGGCTCCCTCAAAGATGGTGTGGGTGTGGGCAACAGCTACACTGGGGTGGGTAGGCCGTCCATGGCACAGGTCCACAATGGAGACGTGGGCGGGCACAGAGACAGGACGTCCGACGCCTGTTTTCCCAAACAGGAGAAGAGGGAGGTGGAGAACGGGATCCCCAGAGACCCTTCCTCCTGCCGGGCAGAGGACAGCTCCCATGGTCAGATCCTGAGCCCTTCCCAGGAGAACGGATTCCTGCCCAGCCGGGAAGAGCAGGACTCGGAGAAAGACAAGGACGACAGCCTGACAACACCGCGCAAGAAAAGAGGGAGGCGGAAACTGGAGCGCCCAACGAAATGTGAGTTTTTGGCCTCTGCTTGCTCAGCTTCGCTATCTTTTGATCTGCTCTCTGCAGACCCAGGAGGAAAAGTCACATGGACATGACTTGTACGAGAGGTTGAGTAATGAATTGCAAATCAGATTGAGTGGGTCTGCGCAGCTCCGCACACAGAGCATGACACTGACGCTGCCAGGATGAGTAACCCAGAGGCTAAAAGTGTTGCATTCATGCTGCTGCACAGCACTGGGGAGAAAGTCACTCGTAAATATTAGCTCTGCTTATACTGTATACTATACTATACTATACTTATACTGTTACTAATAATATCATACTCATTATACTCAATGTTTGACTGCTATATTTCACTTCCTCTCATTTCTTCTCAATGTCTTGGTGTGTTTCCCAAATGCTTTCACTATGCACCGCAGGTTGACATTTGAATGTGCAGCGCCATCATAGATATAATGAGTCAGTCAAAACCTTGTTAAGCACAGTATTGAGCATTCAGAGTAGGTGCAAGTTATATGGAACGTTTGCATCTGGACTGTTACTGTACCTAAAAGTATTGAAGAAGTGATTCATTTTGTGTAGATCTGAAACAAGCTGTTGATTAATTGATTAGTCAACTGACAGGAAATAGTATTTATGGGGTATGGATTGTCGGTCAGAAAAAGTAATTAATAAGAAAATGTCACCTGGGGCTTTATGATGGGAATTTTTCTATAGACAAAATGATGAATAGAGACAATAAACATCAGATGAATCAGTTAGGAAAACAATCATTAGTCTAATTATGTGAATTTTATCAGTAAAGGCCCAGTAACAGGAAAGACAGCAGCAGAAAGGTGGCATTACCTTTTCTAGTGCAAAATGCAGCAACATATTTGTTCCTCGAATAATTATCATAACTTAAATTACTTAAGTAAAATTGGACTATTACATACAATATAATAACTATCTTAAATGCGAACGGTCCACGTTATAATAAACTATTTTATGTTTTATGTTGATGAATTTTGGTCACACAACTGAGTCTGCACCAGCCACAGAGCAGAGGTGGATAAAATTAGCATTTAAAGATGATATAAATCAGGGGGTATTGTTGGGAGAGAGTGGTGTTGACAGGTAGTTTTTAGTCCAAGATGGAGATTAACCATATCACTTAGCCCCCCCACACACTCCCCTGCTTTCCAGTCCTATCTCTCTCTCTCAGCCACGTGTCTCTGTGGCTCCTCTCTCGGCCGCAGAGACACCGGCTCTGACCTTGATGAGGAGTGCAGTAAATAAAGCCAGGGGAGGAGCGACTCGTCTCCTGGCAACAAGCCTCTGTTGGGAGCTGGCAGGTCTCTGTTGTGGCCGCCTCCCCGTCGGGGGCCCTGCCAGGTGGATGGCGTCGTGCCCAGAACTCTTTACAAACTGGGTCTGCACTCTGTATTCACCTGGTCAGTGCTTCTAGGATCTGTTACTCCCAAGCAGAAACCAGGGATAACCCTGTTTGCTTTACAAGACTTCTGAGCGCTGGCTCCAGATCCTGCTCAGCTTTAGTATGATACAGTGGTGAACACAGAGGGCATGACAAAAATCGATATCATAAATCTATATAATTTTTATTTCATCTGTTTATTCTCAGTTGTTGCACGGTGCTTTGTTTTGAACGAGGATGTAGAATTAAAGCAATGTGAGGCAGGGGAATGTGACGGGACCATGTTTTAATTTTTTAGTTACAAAAGCTGTTTCAGGGTCACTCCTCCAGTAATAATGAGAATCACTCAGCCGGTGAAAACATGCACAAAGTCTTTCGGAAATAACCCTGACGACATCATCAGGCTTTACGAAGCAAAGAGGGTCAAACACAACGATGCTTTGGGTTGCATTACAGGAAGAATAGGAATAAAGATTTTTAGAGCTAAATCCATAATCGGAACTAAACGTATCTCACCCTCAGGTGCTTCAATTCTGACCGTTATTTTTTTTTCTAATTTGTCTGTTTTCAGTCCCCAAACCGTATGAAAGTGCAACATTAAATCACCATCTTGCAATAGAATCACACCAGCCGGACGCCCCTCAATGTCCCAATTCTGTCCCATGAGTACTCAGTAGTCATTACGGACGACACCCATATTTGAACTTGACATCACTGACTGTGTCTTGCATGGTTGTGAGGCTACCACGGTGCCAGAATCTGTCCAAAGGCACATAAACAGCTGCTAGAGTTCCTAAAACCACCTCTGTGGTGGTTCCTGCTACAGTAGGTGACTCCAGGAGCATATTTTACCGTGATGACACACACAGGCTGACAAGGGGAAAACAATACAGGCCACACACTGTCACAGTTGGTAACAAGTATCAGATCTTTTGTGGAAAAGCCCCTTTACAGTTTCCACAGACAATAGACAGACAGACAGACAGCAGGCAGGCAACAAAACAGCAGACTGAGGTCAACTGAAAGAGGAACCAAGTAGTCAGCAGGAGCAGCGTTAGCCACAAAGTCAAAGAAAAGAACATGTGTGAACATGGCACAACAAGGACAGCTAGTTGTTTGCAGGCTGCACACACACAAGTTTTACTGTTTGTCACAGTTTGAGTAATATTTGATGCCTATGACACACTCATGCAACATTTGTAGGATTTCTTTCAATCGCGACGTCAAAATCATTTGGGGGAATGAGAAAGTAAGAAGCAAACTGTGAAAATTGTAGGTTTTGTACAAAGGACATTTAGAACAGGCAACTGTGGCGCAAAAAAAGCAGCACAAGTCTGCACGTGCATGGCCACACAAACGTTTAATTCAGATTACATCAGCAAAAAGTGTCCACAGTACCCAGTGCCCAGAATTTAATGGCTAAGTGCTGCACCTGCATGATGTATAGATTTCCCTCTCTGTGAGGTACTAAACATCAAACCAGACTGGCACTGAAGATAAACATGCGAGGAGAAATTAATGCCGTAACTGGACAAGTTTGGATAAAGGGAGTGTTGATGTACATTCATCTGAGAGAGGAGAGTCCTTGGTGGGGGGCAGTGTGGTGGATCGATAGTCAGCTAAACAGGGTTTCTGTTATCCATCTGGAGGGCACAGGAAGGATTTGAGCTCCGGCTGGAGTGGAACTGAGCTCTAGCAATACGAGAGCTGGAACCCGCTCAAACTGGCAAGGTATACTCTCTGTGGGCAACATTAGCCAGCTCCCCTCACAAACCCAATGACCTTGGCAGTCCGCGCCGCCTCACCGATTTGTTATATAGTCACTTATTCCCGATGAGGACGACGAGACCAGGAGAGAGTGATGGAAAAAAAGAGCAAGGGGTTTGGGTTTGGGGGTGGGGGTGGGGGGAGGAACAGGGGGCTCAGCTACACATGGAACCAACTTGAAGAGGCTGCTAAGAGAGCAGACTATTGTTTGGACAGGTCTGTAGGGTACTTCACTGACAAGCCAGTGTTGGCTGTGCAGAAAACATGCCATCAAAAGTTGTCCTTAGCCTCTCAGGGCTCAAGTGTTACGATAGTGTCTGGGCTTCGACTAAGCAGATAGTCATGTTTACTCAGGCTGTGCCATAATGCTAATTTAGGGCACAGCTGCTTGAATGATGTGTGTATACTCCAGTCGTGTCATATCACCTTGCCTGGTCACTTTTAGAAACACTTGCTTACATTCAAATTAATCATTGTTAAAGTAATACCAGAGGTGTTGGTTTGAGCTTCTGTGATGAAGCTGATTTTGGCTTCCTCATCTGTTTTTCTGCTGCTGCGGGTGAAAAAGTTTTCATGAATCATGCTTCAGTTGGGTGATATCCATGCTCCCTGGCTAACCCCTCACTGCTCTGCTGAACACAGGCAAACAATGCTGTTTAAGAATGAATAACATGCCCTTGTTGTTGTAGACCTCCAGATCTTAAATCATGGCCAAGTTAATGGGAAATCCCAACTGCAGCTTTTATTCTGTTAAAGACATTTTTATTAGACTGTGGTTTCAGTGCACGTTTCACCAAATGTTTTCTGTGCTATTTTGGATCATCTTTGCCCTGGTGCTGCACCTCTCTATTATGGTTTTGCAACTTCCTCTGTGTTGGACATTTTCTTTCCTGTGCAAAACACTCCCTTCTGAGAAAAGTGCCAATAGTGTTGATGAGTTCTGAATCATCATGATAAATCAGTGCCGGATGAAACCTGCAGATCTTTCATGTAATTAAAGGTTACATGACTTGTTATTGAGCATGCTCAGATACAAGTTAAAGTCCTGCCTGCAACATTTTGTGTAAGTTAAAATATAAAAGCGTAAGCAACAGTATAAAGTAGTTGACAAAATATGCCAAAGTTCATGGTTGTGTTTGAGATCACTTATCCATGTTTTAAAGCACTTTAAATGTCTTTAAGTGCTTTTAGTTTTAGATTTTCTGGGCAGAGGCCATCTGCTGATGAAGATCAGCTACTAAACAGACTGTGAGGTGAGATCATTTTATCAGTGGCTGTTTCCAAGGTCAAGTTGAAACTTTAAACTCAAAGTGCAAGTACCTGAAAACTGTACTTAGGGTACTTAAGTAAATGAATTACTTTTCAGCACTCTACTTTAAATAGGACATTTGAGAAGTTGTACAACACACAACCTTTTTTTTTTTTTTTTTTTTAGCCTCTGTCGCCTTTTTCTGTTCAAAATAACACAGACAAATAGCAGCTTCTACATTGTCCACCTCTACATACCTCAACAGCAGCAAGAAGAGATTCATGTCCTGATGCAGTCGGGGCTTTGGAGATTGGCAGGGGGGTTGTATACCGCCCCAGAGTCACAGAAGTGAAGCAGCACGTTGTTGCCTTTACGGCTCAGTGTCAGCGGCGTGGGAGGGGTCATGCTAATAGCAACCAGCTGTGTGTCTCATTTAGAGGGGATATAAGGTCAGAAGTGTGACACTTGCCAAAATAAACGTGGCCCCTCTCCACACTCATCATAACCTGGGCAGCCGATCCAAACCCTCTGGGTTGCATCAAACCTTCTTATGGCACCTGAGCGCACAAGCTACGGTGATCCCAGAACCACTTTGAGCATGCATAAGGAGTTTTCCAGAGCCAGTATCTCTCAGCAGATTTATTCATTTGACTTGACAAATATATCGTTAATGGGATGATATGGAGGGCAAGTTTAACAATCTGGATTAATAAATGTGTCACATGGTTTATTGATGAATGAGAAGCCACTTAAGTTTAACACAGATGCAGGGATAACCGATGTGGCCAATTTCCACTCTCCTGTAAATGATTCAGGCCATCCATTGTGTCGCTGTCCTCTTTCTAGATGTGGAGCACAAGGAGGAGGATGGGGGTGATGCAGTCAAGACCGAGGTAAGATTTCTGCTCTGTTTGTGTCTTTGTTCTCTTGCTGATGTAACTCATGAGGTGTCTTTCACACTTGCCAAGTCTGTAGCTTCCTTTTTGGGGCTGAGTTATCTTTCCTGTCACAAACTGTGAATCCTCTGCTTGCCAGCATGATAGATGGTAGCGGTGCAGGTTGAACAAAAGCAGAAGTGCTTTTCTTGACTTTTTGGAGTAGAAATACCAAATAGAAGATATCATCATACTGGTATGTTGTCAAAACGTCAGTCCACCCAGTGTTGTTATAGCAATGTCTTTCTCTTGTCTTATTACTTTCTCTCTATTGCAGGACAGATTGTATGTTTGATCAGTGGAGGTTTACATGTTGTTTTGCATGACTGTAGCTGAGCAGGAATTATTTATCATTTTGGAAAATACACTCATTTGTTTTCTTGCTGAGAGTTAGATGATAGGATTTATAGGTAAATATGAATCTACTGCCAAAAGCCAGTTAGCTTAGCATAAAGACTGGTGACAGGGAGGAATTCTGGTGTCATAAACCTCCTTTAAGGAAAACTTTGAAATACTGGAAATACTGTAAGCTGATTTACTTTGTTGCAGAGAGTTGGATGAGAAGATTGATACCAATCTCATTAATATCTGTTAAATACTAAGCTGGAGTCTGTTAGCTAAGCTTAACATAGAGTGTGGAAACAAGAGGAACAACTAGCCTGACTGTCCAACAATAACAAAATCCTCCTACAAGCACCTCTTAATCTGAATATGTTATTTCTTGCTTTGTTAATCTGCACAATCTGTTTTATAGTTCAGTGTTTTAAGAGGGCTTTTGTGTCGGACTGTTTCTTGGCTGGGACCAGTGGCTTGCTGGCGTTACACTTCAGATTTATATAAAATAAACAAATGAGATATAACATGTTAATTAGTGAGCTTTAAAGGTGCTGGTAGATGGATTTTGTTTGCTTTGGACACAGCCAGGCTAACTGTTTCTCAGTGCTCACAGTCTTTATGCTAAGCTAAGATAACTGGCTGCTGGTTCCTGTTTTATATATATTTTGCATACATACATTAGAGTAGCATCGATCTTCTTCTTCTTCATCTAGCTCTCTGCAAGAAAGCAAACACATGTTTCCTTTACACAAAGAAGATATGTTTTAATGAGTGAGATTTAGCGGTGCTGCCAGGTGGATTGTGCTATCTTAAGACAGAGCCATGCTAGCTGTTTCTCACTGTGTTCAGCCTTTATGCTAAGCTAACCTAATCAGCTGCTGGCTCCAGGTTCATATTGAACAGACAGATACAAGAGTGGTATTGATCTTTTCATCCAACTCTTGGCAGGACAGTGAATTGATGTGAAGTGAGAAAATGAAGAGTATTTCTCAAAATATCAAACTAATGCTTTCAGTTTATTTCTGTGTACCATTAAACCTTTTGCCTCCTGCTCTCCCACAAATGTATGGTGAAAGCTTGCACTAAAAGTAAACTGTATCTGCACCATTGCCAGGCTAGAAGCTTGGTATAAGTCGCCGATCTCCAAGGTCCAGAAAAACTGATTAGTTCTCTTGCCTTTGGACTTGTGAAAGAAATGGTACCTAATGGTGTATAGATTTGAAATATCAAATACACTTGGGAGCTCCTTGTATCAGTTAGGTGCTGGTGACCTTTAGATTGTTGCCAGGGAGTTGTGATTAGACACTGTGGCATCACTTCTAGCTGCCTGACAAATCACAAGCTGACCGCACTAAACGGCACACAAACATGAGTCATCATCTTTTAGAAAGTAGACGATCCCATCGCCTAAACCACAAATTACTCACTTGTTAACTAGAGTCTGGCTCACAGGCTCGAGTGACAGATTGGATGCACAGATTTCCTAAAAATCTGAATGAGTGAAATTCTAAATGGAAGAATCAAAAACAAGTAGCTAACTTTTTTTTTTTTTTTTTAACACCTTAAACAGGGAGGTCGAGGCAGGCTGCGAGGGGGAGTTGGTTGGGAGATCAGCCTTCGTCAGAGGCCCATGCCCAGAATAACCTTCCAGGCTGGTGACCCTTATTACATTAGCAAGCGGACCAGAGAGGAGTGGCTGGCCAAGTGGAAGATGGAGGTGAGTACCCCAGCCACCATAGTGAGCAGGGCGAGTGACAGGCATGGACTAAAGCTGCCAGGGTCAAAGATAGGGCTCGTGGTGTATTCACAGCCAAGTGTATTTGATGGGTCATTTGATATCTCATGAAGGTACCATTTATTTCAGTGGATTTCCAGGGCCATTGGCTCAGTCGGCTCCTGCGTATCCTGGCTTTGTTCTTGTCTATTGTATTAGCAGAGGGAGAATCACATGCAGCTGTGGTGAACACATCTGTTTGATGCCTTGACATGATTCATGCTTCCTGGATGAAAATGTTGCCGTAAATTTAGATTTTTATAATTCTGAGTGCTTTTGATGTCTTGAAGTTGAGGTGAAATGAATCTAGATTAAAGGGTCAGTTCACCCAAATGCCCAATAGAAACCATTTTTACCTTTAGTTGATATTTGACAGTGCAGAGAGCCAGGCATTTGGGGGGGGGGGGGGGTTCAGCTTGAGTCAAACTGGGGACATTGCAGTTATTAACCATTCACACCTTAACCATTAGGCCACCAGGGGCACACCATACTTTCCCTTTTACCCCGAATGGTAGTGAGTTATTAGCATAAACAGATTTTTAGTAACAAAACCAGTCATGCATTTTTTTTTTTTCAGTTTGAGTTACAGATCCATTAGTTTGAAACAAAACATGAGTGAGAAGTTCATAATTTTTAGAGAGAGGATTTTACTGCTCTGGAAAGTCATCATGACAGCCGTCATTTTTTTCTTTTATCATGGTAATTATGATAATAGGAGCCATGGAGGTACAGCGTTCACATTATGGGTTAGGCTAAGCAGTAAGTAAGTAATCGACCAGGAATGTGTATCAAAGTTGTCCAGTGCAGCATGTTGCTGGATAACGCATCATTTGTGACAAAAGTTGAACCGGGTTCAGCTTTTTTTGCCAGGTGACCTGGCATTTTTTGCTGGATCCCTTTGCGTTGACACCCCCACTGCGTCAACGGAGTGGCCACATTCAAATGAATGAGGGGGAACCTTTGTCCGACAGGATTAAAGTCGGATGGAACGCGGCTTTTGCTGGTAACATTTCATTTGCACAATTTCTTTGATGGAAAATTTCCATCAAAGAGATTTCCTTGTAAATGTAGAGCAATAACAAACTGTTTAAAGTTTATTACTGAGAACAGTAGTTGACTAAATAATCTCACCACAAATTCCTTTTATAGCCCTTCTAGAGCTTTTGATTGTTTCTCATGGGCTTCCTCAGCAGATGGAGATTACCAAGTTGCTATGGAATTGTAGATGCCCAGATTTCCATTTTAAGGACTTGTTGTCCATGATATCTTAACGTGAGATTGTAAGTGTATTCTTGACCTCGGAAACAGCAGTTGACAAAACAATCTCTTCACCACAAAGTCCAATTAGTAATGGTTTTGGAGCTTTTTGGTCGTATCGCTCGATCTTCAGATCAAATGTTGTGGTGAGATTGGTTTGCTGGTAATACACAGGTATTTTTACTGGATGCAGAAGGATCACTCAGCCCTGCTTCTTTAGCAAATGTGACAACTTATCCGAGCTCTGATTTCTTTTGTGGAACATTAATCCAGTGTGAATTTAATCTCTATAAATGTGAAGTTCCCACGTTGCTCATTATTTAGTCATGTTAAATGTGACTTCTGCTAGCAATGTGATGTAGTGCAACCTCATCTGTTACATAATGAGGAGTCTCTGTAGTATCAACATGGGGTCGTCCATTTCTTCTACCTCCCTGCCCCCCTCTGCTCTCCTCTGGAGAAGGCTCGGGAGCAGCCGTAAAAATGTCTCCAGGGAGGAAATATTGCCAAATTAGCAGGACATGCCGGAGTCCCACAAGTGAAATGTCGTAAAATACGAGGCAAGTAGGCAGTTTACATTTTCCAAACAGAGGTGGATTTTCTTTAACAAGTGGCTCCACTGGGCTGAGATTTAAGGGGATTTGCAAGATGCAAATTGTGACTGTGCCTGTTTTTTCCCCCTTTTCTCATCTGGTGCACTGCAAGCTTTGATCTAATTTGCACAAAGACTTTGTTTTGGCATCAAAGCCCTTTTTCCTGAGGAGTAATGTGATGCATAGCCTCCAGTTTTGCTTCTACTCCACCGCCACAGAGCATTTTTCTGTTGCATGCTCCTGCAACAGGGAGGACATGGTGGCTGAAAGGGTTACTGCCATCTTGCACTTTCTCCAGGATCTCTTTTTTTTTTCTTTTTTTTTTTCATGTGCCTTGTGTTACAGTGGACTTCTCCGTCTCTCCCTCTCTGTTTCCCTCCCCTATTCTTCTCCTGACCCCTCCCCCAGCTATGGAAATGAACTCTGTGCTATGGATATGAGGGTGAAGATGAGGTTTGCAGCAAATTTCCAGCCCTGCTTGCAAGACAGCCTCTTGGCTCGCTGCCAACATTTTGCAAGTCCTCTCTATCCAACCAGAATTCCTGTCGGCAATCACCTGACCCTGAATTCCCAGACAAAGAAATGTTCATGCTTTCTTTTTTTAAGCGATCTCTTCTACCCCGAGAGTGGGGGTGAAAAAAACTGAAGCCCCACACTGGATTATGAGGGTTGCGCGCTGGCGTGTATGGGTATGTGCACTGCATTGTTTGTTTGATAACACAGGGGGATAGTGTGCATGTCTGATTAGCCTGCTTATAGCGAGGGGAATATGCTGACTTCAGGTATTTCCACGAGAGTTGTTGTGGACCATCTGCTCTGCACAGCTTAAAGGGAAACCGTCTCTTTAAAAAAAGGAAGAGTGAGCAGGCTTTAGCCGTGTTTGGGAAAAAGTTGCTTGCATGAAAAAAGTTTTTCCCGTGGGGTGAATATGCATTGAAACTATTTCCTGTTTCATAGCAGTGCCTAGAAATGTCAGATTAACATCATTCTTTTGGGTCAAATACATGTACTTTAAAAATGTTGCTGTTGTTTTTTCAGAGCCAGCATGATTTTTTACCTTACATAACATTAAAGTGGGAAAAAGGTGAAGTTGTTGTGTAGGCCTCACAGCCATTTCCTTCCTATCACTGTGCACTTTGTTCTGTTTGACTCACGACATAGATTTACTACGAGAACAGTAATTGATAACTTGAAAAGATTTTAAAGAGCTTTGGAGTAAAGCGAGCAGCCTCCTCAGGGGAGGGGGGCTTTTTTTTTTTTTAACAACTCCACTTGTGGATTCATGGGGAATTCTGTTTATGTATTCATAGCTGACTCTGTAATATTCCTAATTATCTCTTAAAAGGACGCAATACAATGAGAACCAGATGGCCTCTTTTAGTGTGACCCCCCAAGGCCACTCGTGAAATACACTGCCTTTGTAGGGATCTGTGCTAAAACATCAGGCTAATGAATGCAGTAGCCACATCGCTGCACAACAGAACCTGCCACTGGTGCGTTTTCAGACAATATTTCCACTTCAAAATCTGCCTTTTGTTTTTTTTTTGTTTTGTTTTTTTTCTTGATCTGATGCATCTCGACTTAACTACACCTGTCGCTGCTTAAGGGAAGTTTTTGCTATTTGTACGCGGCCTTGCTCAGCAGATAAGCTCAGGAGGTCTTTGCACTGAAGACATATCTCACTGTATAATCCATCAAACAATTACAAAAAGCAGACCCCGCTGTGTCTCTCCTGCCTGTTGCGCATGAGAGACTACTGCATTCAAAGGTCAAACTCTTTTGTGTTGCTTCAAAGGCTCGCTGTCACGTTGTGTGAGGAAGTAATGTTCAGTGACAGTTTATTTCATCTAACTTTTTACATTTAATCAAAGTTTGCAGAGTGCTTGTTTGTTTGGATTTGGTGGCACCTTTAACATCTTTTTCTTTGATATGAATTTTTTTTGTCTTTGTCCCTGTATTACATGCAAGCTTTCAGGCATATGTACTGTGATGTTTCATCTCAGCAACCACATTTTTGACTCTTTGACCCTTTGAGACTAAGAAATCTTCCTCGTAAAGTTAACAATCTTATAATAGACAGTTGTTGTCTTATAAATAACCAAAGCCACGCAGTAAACGTGACCTTTTTCTTAACAAGTGCAGCCCAGATTGAATCCTTAGGTATGATCTGCACACCCCTGAGACCAATATGTCTTCTCTTTTTTCTGCCTCCCAGTGCACTCTGTCACCCCTTGAGCCCTCAGGGTATCATGCTGCATGGCCTCTAAGTCAGATTATCCCTTATTGTGCACCCAACATGTCTCCACACTCTGCCAGCAGCCTGTAGAGCTTCTGTTTTCACTATGTCCATAACAAAATCCACAATTACTGTAAGTACAGTAACTGAAGTTTGGTTTTTCCATTGCCTTCATATATAACCTATTTTTTTCCAAGGGGAAAAAAAGAGTAGATGTTTTTCAATGTGAGGTCGTTTAAACACATTTCCTCCTCTGTGTTTATACATCTACAGTATGTCTGCTGTCATTTTTGGCATTTGTCTTCGGCACGGCGTGACAGCAGATATAAGTGGTGGTATTTCTGAGCTGTCAGTGACGGGCAGGCGTGCGTAAATGATAAAGACCGCATTGTGTCTCTGCTACCTCCTTTCCTATTTTCCCCTTTAGACTCGGAGGGCCTGTCTTGCTGGTGGAGCTGCACACACACTGTGAGGCCCCCAAAAGGGGGCATTTACAACTGGGAAGAAGTCCAGAGACAAATATCTGGTTCTTATAGCCACTGTACTTTCTCTCCTCCCCCCACTGGCATTTTCAGCGTCACTTTCTCATTGGCTCTGAGGAGAAGGAACCCTGGAGACAGTCTGACCCTAAACACAGCAAAATGAGCACAGTAACAGTAGCTCAGCTGCTTTATTGGCGTTTACAGATCTCCCAGTATACCTGTGATTACTAGTCGCCAGAGATGAAGAAGCTGGACTAAATTCATAAAATCATTTCACCTACTCATTTATTTCTGACTGCACCAGTGACTACTCTCCTCACATGCCAATATGATTATAGATTGTTTCTCCCCATACACACAACACATTCAGCGGTTTAATTGACATTTGTTAGTTTTTGCAGTTTACCATCTGGAACCACACATCCAAGCAGAGCTGTCGAACACTAACTCCAGTGTGCTTGTGCTGGAGCCAAGAGGCCTAACGCATATGGCCAAGGGCTTTGAACCATCCATCCAGCACTACAGTACAGATATTTATAAACCACAGCAGAGCCTCTTGATTGAGGAGCACATGTTTCTACTCTTCTGCGCAGATACCCCTCCCCACGCCATCTAGGCACCACCTCCCCTTAAAGGCGCTATTGTTTACGAGTCACACTGGGAGAGAGGACGGAGGATTGTACTATACACTCTCTCAGTCTCTCTCCTACTTCCCTTTTTTCTCCTCTTCCCACACACTCAGTCCAGCTCTGGACATTTACAGTGTGTGTGAGACCTGAGAACCTGAGAAAACGACTTGAGGAAAGTAAGCACAGCTGTGCAGCACTGCTCTCACGTGGAGCCTATAGTATGACTAACACGTGTTTACATATGGGACTGCAGATGTATATTCTGTGTGTGTGTGTGTGTGTGTGTGTGTGTGTGTGTGTGTGTATGTAAAAGAGAAAGAGTGAGAGAAGGAGAAGAAAGTTAGCATGTGAGTCCTACCGTGTGTGTGTTTGAGAGAAAGAGATCAGAATGAGTGCAGCTGTTGGGGATTTACTGTGAGAGGCTTAAGTCCCGGCTGCGTCTCGTCCTCTCTGATCGACCTAGCGGTTCAGTGTCAGGTACCACAAACCCAGTGAACTCTCCACTGCAGCTATGGACACTATAGAGTTACTGTATACACTGCCGTTGATGAATGGGCCTTACAGGCGGAGATAAAGACGTGTTTACAAAGGCGTTCAGACTCCCACAATCATGATTCTGCACGTATACAGCAGAGATGACGTGCACTACTTGTTTTGTTCAGCTAAATGGTTAAAAACAGTCTCCACTTATACTGTAGCTGACAGTAATGCAATTTTATTGACAGCCCTGCATGGACATTGCCATCGCAGGATAAATGCAGTTCAGTCACTGGTGTGATGCACTGTTCTTTTTTTACGATCATTTTAGCCTCATTTGATAGTCAGCAGCAGAGAGGCAGACAGGAAACATGGGGAGAGAAGAGAAGGGGTGTGACATGCAAAAAAAGGTCCCCGGCCTGAATCAAAGCACGGACGTTGCGGTTGTGTGACAGGTGCTGTAACCATTCGGCTACCAACGTGCTCCATATAGCACCAGTTTTTACTTAAAGCTGCACTACTCAGTATGTTTGTATAAACAATGGGTCAGGGTGACTGTGTGTAATGTGAAATCAGTCACTGGAAGTGATGAACTCACAGATTTATCATCTGCAGTGACCCTCAGCTGTATGATGTGTTTCAGCATCTTTCAGCTCATTGTTTTTTGGTTTAACAGCCCAAAGACTTCACTGTTCTGGTTCAGTCTCACTGCTCTCATGAGTATTTCTAGCAGCAGTGAACTGTTTTCACCAAATAGCTCTAATAAACCAACTGTATGCTGCCTGCCCAGCACCTAACAGAAGAAAGACAAAGGCTACTAAATATAGTGGGGCATTTAGTAGCTAAAGAGCAGGTTTTTCCCTCAGAGGAGAGCAAAACTGAAAGTGAATATTGGACTTCCCAGGTGGCCAGAAACACAACCCAAACAAATGTTAAGGCTCCTCCATGTCTGTTCAGTGTATAAATAAGTTACAGTTTGTTAACACATTTGCCATAACAACTTGATAAGGTGATAATTTATCAGTGTTGTTCTTCTGCCCCAAAGTGGTCGAAAAATAAAAAAGAACAGCGTGACAATTTGCTAAATACACTTGTTTATTGTCTTACCACCAGTCACATGAGAGGCTGGTATCAGTTTAATCTCTGTGTGTCCTCTACAAATAAATTTCAGAACGTGTTTAGCCTAGAAAACGGATGCTTGCAGGGCTGGTTAACAAACCTCAACATGTTTGGGTACCAAGTTGTGTCTGTACCACAGAGTAGCAAGCGTTCCGTCTGCACTGAATCTGTTTGTAAGCTTCTCTCTTTCTTAGACACATTTTCTGATGTATTTTCATAAGTATTTTCTTCAACAATGTCTTTATATTTATTACAAAAGTAACATATCCAGCTGGATCAAAACTCAGTCTCTATACTCAGTTTTAGACTCAATGATTGCACACATCAAGCGAAAAGCCCTGTCTTTACCTCTGCTGTCACTCGACTGTGTTTCAGGCAGAGAAAAAGGCCAAACTGATGTCAGCGATGAACGCGATGAAGGATCACGAGGAGAATGAAACAGAGACCCAGAAAGAAGAGGTCTCAATAATAAAGCACCCGCAGCCTTCAAAGCAGCAGCAGCCGCAGCTGCAGCAGCCTCAGTCGCACACCCAGTGTCAGTCTCAGCCTCAGTATCAACAGCAATCACAGCCGTCGCTGCAATCACAGCAACAGCAACAGCTACAACAACAGCAGCAACATCAGCAGCCGCCTCAGCAGCAGCAGCAGCAGCAGCCTACTGACCCAGCTTCGCCCACTGTGGCCACGACCCCCGAGCCTGTCGCCATCGTAGGTGGAGACAAGGCGTGCCCCAAGTCTGCAGACACTGAGCCCGAGTATGAGGTAAGATCATTTTGAACTTGATTCGCACTGATTAATATCTGGTCATAAGCCCCTTTAGGATTTTACAACAAAGATCTCAGATTCAGTTTAAAGCCAGGGTTAATCCTTGTGGAATCAAGTAGCCGTTCATGTTTTGAGAAATTATTCACCTGGGGTCTCATACAACTGTCAGAGAATACAAAGATGCCAAATATGTCACATTGAATTCTGGGGAAATGTTTATATGATGCAGAGGACATCTGCAGCACAATTACATCTGGTGTAGTTTAATGTAATACTGCAGCATGAAAACCTGGAGTCTTGTAGTTGGTTTGTGTATTTTCCCCCAGTAGCTTCAAGCATACCGTATAAAAAATATATACTTAATAATACTAAAATGTATAGACGTTTATGCGTTTATGTCTCTAAATATGTAAAGGGATGTCACTTGAGTAAACTTAAAATTTTCTCATCTATTCACTCGGCACTGAGTTTGGGATTTTCCTGAAACAATTAGTCGCTTAATTGACTAGTCGGTCTACAAAAAATGAATCAGGGAATATTTTGATAAACAATTTATTTTTAAGTCATTTTTTTTCTCCCTTCCTGAGTATGTGCTGAGAATATGTGATAATAAGAGTTAAATATTGGGTTTTGGACTGTTGATGGAAAAAACAAGCAGTTTGAAGATTTAACTTAGAGTTTTGGGGAATTAGACCTAAACGATTAAGTGATTAATCAAGAAAAAAATTGGGTGATTAATAGAATATGAAAATCATTGTTAGTTGCGACCCTCATTTATATTATAAGCAATCACCTTTAATTATTGTTATTATATAATATTTATTTTGTTATGTTATTGTTTATGTAAGTTTTTAATCTAACCCCATCCCAAAAATAAAAAAAAACTGAGACAGACGGTGTTTAAAAAGGTTTCACAACTATGGCCAGAAGTGAATACAGAGCGGATGATTTGTCTTTTATTTTGGCTGCAGGACGGTCGTGGTTTTGGCATTGGTGAGCTGGTTTGGGGGAAGCTGCGAGGGTTCTCGTGGTGGCCAGGCCGCATCGTATCCTGGTGGATGACGGGACGGAGCAGAGCTGCTGAGGGAACCAGATGGGTCATGTGGTTCGGAGATGGAAAATTCTCAGTGGTGAGTATTTAAAGCCAACATTAATATTACTGTGAGGTGATTTTTTCATGAGGAATTAAGCAAAACAGCCCTCCATTTAGAGTGACAACCACACACTTTATAATAACTTTTTTTTTCTTTTATTTGTTCAACCTATTTCTCATCAACTCTTTTCCACTATAAACATAATAGTCATTAATCCTTTCATACTTTCTAGCTAATAACAATATTAATGCCTATTAATGACTACATTTTCTGTGTATATTTCCAGGTCTGTGTAGAGAAACTCATGCCTTTAAGTTCCTTTAACAATGCCTTTCACCAACCAACTTACAACAAGCAGCCCATGTACAAGAAAGCCATCTATGAAGTGCTACAGGTGAGTGTAAATTCAAAACCTTGTTTTCAGTTTTAATCAATCTCTAGTCCCATTTCATCATGAAAATGAACGGGTCGATAGCATTGTATAGTTGTTTACACTTCTTTAAAGGAATAGATAAAAGGAATGTGCTTATCCTGAAGACTGAGACCACTCTTATGTTTGTGCACTGAAAATTTAGCTAGAGTTGGGGACGATTAGCTTAACTTAGCTTAACATAAAGACTGGAGGCAGAACAACTAGCCTGGCTCTTTCCAAAGTTCAAAAATGTGCCTACCACCAATATGCCTAAAGCTCACTACTTAACATGTTGCATCTTTCATGATTAATCCGCAAACAGTAATAGACCACAAAATGGTGGTTTTATAGGGACCTGGGTGATGGAATTAATTCTTTAATTCTCTGCAAAGAAATCATAAGTCCCTTCCCTGAGCATCTAGAGGCCTCTAATGAACATGGGACACACTTTCCTGCAATTAGTATAATTAGCAAAAGCCATTCTCTCCGTGTACAATACTCAGTGTAACATGGAAACAAAATTATGTTCCTTCAATGCTATGCTTTACACAAAACAAGTACAAAGACTAGTTAAGTGCAAGTTCAGTTAATGAATGAAACGTGCCATCGAACATTCAACAACATGCCTTGTTTCATTAAAATAATCAAATGCTCTGATGGTTACAAAATGATCCTCTTTTAGGGATAGTATGCACAGTCGCTGCGTCCTAGTTGAAACACTGATCACACTGAATCAGTCGATGATCCTCTCTATAGATAAACTGAGGGTCAACCTAAGTCATAAATGTTTTTAATGTATTCATAGGTGGCTAGCAGCCGGGCAGGCAAAGCCTTCATGGCCTGCCCTGACAGTGATGAGACAGAAACCTCCAAATCAGTGGAAATGCTGAACAAGCAGATGATTGACTGGGCTATGACAGGATTTCAACCCACTGGACCCAAGGCCTTAGAGCCACCAGAGGGTAAGAGGAAGTCAATATTATGAAGCTCTAACTTTTGACCCTGTGTTTCAGTTTGACAGCAGCTGGGAGTGTGAAAACCTCCGATATGTATCACCACTTCATCCAAAAATTTCTCCAGTTAATCGTGTCATTTAATAATTGATCATGCTGCCTGTAATATTAATTTTCTGATATGCTGTGCACCCCAGAGGAGCGTAACCCATACAAAGAGGTTTACCCTGAGATGTGGGTGGAGCCAGAAGCAGCAGCCTACACGCCTCCTCCAGCCAAAAAGCCTCGCAAAAGCACAGCAGAGAAACCCAAGGTCAAGGACATCATTGATGAGAGGACACGGGGTAAGGTGCCTCATTTATTAGGTTAAATAGGAGTCATGAACTCTATATTCCTTCCCTTGGGGAGGACTCAGCAGAGTTGTACATCAGAGTAAGTGGTCGGAGAAGAAGCGTATGGACAAGAGCTCCATTAGAGTGACAGTTTTAAGATGAAAGTGAATGATGTGACCAGGCAAAAAGGCTCAGACTATTGTTCCAAAGACAATGAACAGATGTTTGTTTGGGTTTATTCCCAAATGTGCTTAATCAGTATTACTGTAAGATGTTTTGGCAATGAGTTACTCATCAGTACTGCGTATTACTTGAGTAGTAGTACCTGATACAGTAAGAACACTGGCATCAGTATTAGTGTAGCCTATAATTAGAAAAGCTATTGTTAAAATCTATAGTTATGAAAGTGTTTAAGTTAAATGCTTTAAAAGTTTCTGAATCATTTGGTGCTTAACAACCTCTTATGTTATTTCCTAGTTATGTACTACTGATAACAATCTTAGTCCTAATTCATACTCATAAACATCTTATTATTTATTCAACTTTGGCCCTAATCTGAACTGAACTAAGATCTTTTAGCTGAAAATATACTGATGAAGGATTTAATTGAACTTTCAACTGTACTGATAATAATGTTCTGTTGTTCAAACACAAAAAATGCCAGTCACAATGGATTGAATGCAAGACTGATTACAGAAGTTTTTTTGAAATATTCTCTCTCATAATAATAGCGCCTCCTAGAATTTGGTGTACCACAGGGCTCAGTTTTAGGGTCTCTCATTTTTCAAATACATAAATAATATGTCACATGTTTATAAATTGACATCTAACATTATATTTGCTTATTACATGAGCATCTTTTACTGGCATAGAAACATTTGCAAATTTTGGTTATTGCAAAAAAAGTTTAAAATATATAATAAAACATTACAATTGTATTTAAGTAGTTTTGGGTTTACACCAATGAGGGCATTACAATTATTTATAATTATGTTGTTTCTGAGATGATATGTTATGACCATCTGATTTTTCTTGAAGTTCTTTCTTTCTTTTTTGATCTGTTGAAGTAAATAAACTAAAAAAAAAAACAAACTAAAAAATGTTGACAAATTTTGATCTGTTGACCTGACAAATACAATGTTAAATGTAGATTGCGTTAACCTACATTTCTCATGATTCTCACTTGTTTTGTATTTTCAGAGCGGCTCGTTTATGAAGTGAGACAAAAGTGCCGCAGCATAGAGGGTGAGTGATGTGTCCTCCGTGTGCTCTAGCTTGTAGCAGCACTGGGGGGCCTCTCGAGGGATGAACACCTAGACGCGTTACACTTGGCCTTGTTGTTGACAAGCAAGGCAGCAGAAATGTATGTGTCTATGTTAATAAAACGATAAAAGAAGTACAAAAGAAGAAGTAACATTTCCATGATTTCTGCTGCCTTGCTGGCTCCCTTGTGTGTTTTCTCCAAACATGCCAGTTAAGCTCATTAGATCTAGACCTGCGTCACAGCTGTTCAAATAATTCATTGAAGTGTGTAGCAGCAGAGTGTTCACACCTCTCTGACCTCCACCTGTTAAACACTGACATACGGCACTTCTCTTTCTACAGACATCTGTATCTCCTGTGGAAGTCTGAATGTTAGCCGTGAGCACCCGCTGTTTGCTGGAGGAATGTGCCAGAGCTGTAAGGTAAGCTGTGATTGAGGTCATAAAAGTCTTGCGATTCTACTCCCACAACTGTATCATAAAAAAAAATAAATAAAAAAAATCACTGCTCCTTTCAAAGCTAATAATAAACTGAATATATTCCAAGCAACGCCTGATGTGACCCCGTAAAATTTAGTTTTTTAAATATGACAAACTGCTCCCTGTCTTTCGACCACTTTTTTTTTCACAGAACTGCTTCCTAGAATGTGCATATCAATATGACGACGACGGTTACCAGTCATACTGCACTATCTGCTGCGGAGGACGAGAGGTGCTCATGTGCGGAAACAACAACTGTTGTCGGTGAGGTTTCTGCTGTGTTATGGGGGTAATGTAAATCATCACGGTCTGCGTTACGGTGAAGTTGTATTTTAAAGCACTACACTTGTAGCATCACATAGTAAATTTAGTATAATGTACATTTCCACAGCACTAATTCCATCAGTACAACAACACAACCAAACTCCCCACTCTGCCTACCCCCGGGTCTTTTTTTTTTAACGGAAAAAAATGTTTTCATATGCTAATTAACAACAAACAAAACTCAGCACTTCCTGAAGTTTGTTCACATTAAAAAGGACTGCCTATAATGGGAGCTTTCAGTGTGAAAATGTGTTGAGTTTCATTCACGGCTGCACAGTAAGATCGTCTGGGGGAAAAAAGGCTAAGTGGAACACCTGATGTAACTCTTGCTGTACTGATGAAGTTTGTCCTGTGGAATTGGACTAAATACCGCATTTATCAAGACAACAGGGAAACAGGAAGTTTTGAGTTTGCATGAACTGGGGAAAGAGAAAGTAAAGAAAATAAATATTGGCAGCAAGTAAAGTCGTATATACTGTACAGAAGCAAGACCTGGTCCACAATAAAAAGAAAAGAAAACCCATCACAGAAGGTTTTTGGCCATGTTCAAAATCTAAACATGCACTGTGCGTAGATATAACTGTATTGCTGCATTTATCAAAGCTGGAACTTATTTGTGGAGGCTGTAAACATTTCCAGCATAATAACTGAAAAGGCACATTTTGATTTATTGAGGTATTTAAATCATGAGTCAAAGGGATTACTGAACCAAAATTTCCATCCAGGACTAACATAAGTTTAACCCACTTCTATTCTGCACAAATTATCCTTCACAAGTTTCTCTTTGTGGAGTCTTATAGTGTAATATATGATAATATTACAATATTTCCAGAAATTCTTCTTTAGCCTTTAGAACAGATTGTTCAAATGAATCTCCATAGGACATAAATACCCCATCTTCCTACGTATCAGTAGTTTGTCTGTCACTGATAGCAGGATTGTGCCATCATTGCACAAAGTAAGCACACAATAGAGGCTTTGTCGTGATGTCACAAAGCTCATAGCTGTGATGTCAGGCACCACCGTGGGAGGTTCACTGTAGAAGCGACTGATCACAAATATTGTATAAAGTGCGGTTGTGTGTCAGTTGAATAGACCAGCTATAAATAAATAATCTCATAAAGTATCCTCACACAGCCAGAAGATGATTTAAAGTCTAGAAAATACCACTGAGAACAGATTGAGCCTTGTCAGATACACGTTGGATGGACCAATCAGTAAATAATGGTTTGCTGTGTGTTAAGATGATGGCATTTGACATTTGGATGACATTTTGATGATAACTCGGTGCCTCTCAAAACTCCCAGAACTCATTTAATACCATTGAAGCTAGGCCCTTTAGGTATAAAGCAAAGACTGATCCTGCAACTCTGTGACCTCTGATTGATTTAGAAACTAACTTCAGTAAAAGAGTACTGTCAGTCATTTATTGCTCAGCCTACATTAAAGGATAAGCCTGGAGATATCAGCTTTTGTTACTATCAACGAATCCCATTAAGAGATGAAAACACACAGTGCAACAATGCAGATAAATCTTTAAAATAACAAGTCACGAATAAACACACTTACATTTTTCAAGAAATCCCCTAAAACAGCTGGACACTGTAGTTTTTAGCAAAGTGAATAGTGCTTTTGTTTGAAGCTATTTTCAGCTGTGTATTAAGACACGTTTGTTATGCTAGTGAGTATTTACAGTAACAAGATGGTGTACGTGAGTTCACCTCAAAATAAACAAGTGTGTGTGTGTTCACTGTAGTGAATAGTGAATAGTTTTTGACCACAGGAGGAGCTCTGTGCAACACAGGAATAAGATATATCAGGCTCGTGTCAGTAAGATCACTGCAACACTTTCTTTTTTGTATGTAATTGGAAATTTTAAACATGTATTATATGTATTTATTGACATGTCTCAAACTAATTTATCCGTGGTGTTGCCAGATCACAATGAGTGAAGCAAAGCGTTCTTTATAAGGTAGATTTGTTTTGAAACTGTGACCATACAAACACTATAAACCATAGCTTCTACTAGATGCTAGTAGGATTTATCACTCATTGTAGTAATGATTTTCCTCGGCCTGTGTTCAGGTGTTTCTGTGTGGAGTGCGTCGACCTCCTCGTTGGTCAAGGCGCCGCCCACGCTGCCATCAAAGAGGACCCGTGGAACTGCTACATGTGCGGTCAGAAGGGCGTGTTTGGTCTGTTGGAGCGTCGCACTGACTGGCCCAGCCGTCTCCAGCACTTCTTTGCAAATAATCACGACCAAGATTTTGTGAGTAACCTTTAGGCGATAGAACTAAAGATAGAACTGTCTCACTGAGGAGTCTTTTTCCTCCGTGTTTCTCATTTTCTCCCCCTCTCCCTCCCTCTCTCTCTCTCTCTCTGTGTTGTATTTCAGGATGCACCAAAGCTTTACCCCCCAGTCATGGTGGAGAAGAGGAAGCCCATTCGTGTCCTGTCGCTATTTGACGGCATAGCAACAGGTTAGACGAGAACCCCCCCAAATTGATACCAATGTGTATCAGTTTACACCGTATCCCCCTTTTTCTGTATTAAACGCAACATTTTCATTATCGTTTTGGTCACACTAAAATGAAAAAAATAATTTAGACTAATTAGAAAAATGTGTTTATCATTAGTACTTTCATGTACTTCATGATTATACCCTTATTGGACAATAAACAACAAATGAATGCATTCTAGTAGTAGCGTTGCTGACTATCAATAACACCACTATAGTCATTGTAAGAGTTTCATCAGTCAATACATGATTGGTATCAAAACATTACATTGGTGGGAAAGTGATATGAGCATGTTGCAGATACTGTATTGTAAATGGAGGATTTGAATGGTCACTTTCATTATTATTCAGTGTTTTTCTTTTAGTTAGAGACAACTACAGAGCGTCACATCAGTCTGAGTAGACGCTTTTTTTAATCATGCCCAGTTCATTGGTTTAGGGTTTGTCGTTTTGGGTTTTCTGTCTTCTGAACTTTAACCCCTGTCCTGCGCAGGGCTGCTGGTGCTGAAAGAACTTGGCATCCAGGTAGATCGCTACATAGCCTCTGAAGTGTGTGAAGACTCCATCACTGTGGGCATTGTCCGGCATCAGGGTCGCATCATGTATGTTGGCGATGTGAGGAACGTCACACGCAAACTTGTGAGTCTAATGCTTTTTTTTTTTTTTTTTTTTCTATGTGTGCATGGTCTTTTTCAGTTGCTTCACACTGATAAGAGTTGTCTTTTATAACAGCAGTCTTGTTCTGTTGCCCTTTGAAGCTGGACTGACCTGAAGAATAGCTGAAACTTACAAAGACCAGTCAAACTGCACGGAACAACTGTTTTAACAGGCACCGTTTTTTTTTTTTTTTTTAGCCTTAAATGTGAGGGGATGAGCACATGTTGAACAACTGAGCACATTATCGAGACTGAGTGCATAGAGGGAAATACACTGGGTGGTGGTTGGCTATGATTACAGATGTGTCACCGGGCAACCAAAGAAATACTACAAAAACATGAACTCTTCCTGTCCCAGAAAGACATATTCATCACAAAGAGTTTGCCTTGCTAAGTGTCTCTACATGTACTGTATACTGGAGGATGATAAGCAGGGCATTTTTTTTTTTTTACATTCAAATCATTTCTAATATATTTGAACCACGCAAAAGACACTGGTGTCCCACCCACTGTATAAGTGAGCTTATACACCAACTGGCTGTCAATCAGCCTCTTTGAAGTCTTAGAGATCAGTGACATGGTTTGATTTGACTAAACCTCGAGTAGCAGTTACTTTGAGTAAATCTTTGTTGTTGCACTTTAGTTACGAGGCAACTCTAAGCTCATTGACCTCACAGTTAGTTGTGTTAGTTGTGTTACTCCTCTGTAGTGAGCTATCATATGTGACATCTTCACAGCTCTGATGAAATACATTTCAACATTTTTTTCTAGGCGAACATAAATTCCACAGGTGTATATGATCCATTAGAAATCTTGGATGCAACAACTCACATCAAATATTCATTTTTCATTTCCTGGAAAAGGAAATGTCTAGTACATGTCCAGTTGATGCTAATAACTCTGAGAGCCACATAAGTGGAAGTGGGGAAAAAAAAAAATCCTGGAAAGCCTGCAACTGAAAGGGTAAAGCAGGACTGTTGAGCAGATTATGAATATAAATGTAATGTACTCTGAGTGAGCGAGTAGCTATTATTTTATTATCCACTTCAGTTTTAAGGTCAGAGCCACAGTTCAACTGAAGCTGACCTCACTCTGATGAAGCTCTCTCATCCAGAGGGTTTACGGTTACCGTTTCTACTCAGATCACAGTATAAAACTAATGAGGACATTATATCTTCTCCCATCTTAAAACTCTGATTTGATACACAGATGTTTCTGCTCCCAAACAGCAGTGGGCCTCCTTTTCTAACACTAGTGAACCAGAGAGAACTGGACCCTCTGTCTAACATAAACATATAATCTGTAGTCTCTCTTGTGTCTGACAATTGAGGTTCCTTAACACGCCAGATGTATCTGGGAAGTAACATTCAACTGTTTTCAACTGTAAAACTGTAGCTACCTTGCTTCATAACCAAAGTGCGTGAACTCAACAAAAGGTAGAAAGTGGAGACTAGAAGACAATAAAGACTTTTTTTTAAAGTTGGAGGAGTGTTGTGCTGGTTCACTAAATCTTACAACATGTCATTATCTATACTGTCTCTGTGTTTATCTGACTCTGTCTCTTATCTTTATACAGATACACGAGTGGGGTCCTTTTGACCTAGTTATTGGTGGAAGCCCATGCAATGACCTCTCTATAGTCAATCCTGCGAGGAAAGGTCTTTACGGTAGGTCTAAACATCATCACTTTCCTTTTGCTTTGTGATATTCATTGAATTTCTATGGTTAAAATTAAAGAAAGCTAACTATATGACCGGAAAAATCACTAGAATATCATCAGTTTGTCCTTTACTATACTTCAGCGTGGTTTAATGGCCACCTCTGTCCCACAGAGGGCACCGGCCGCCTGTTCTTCGAGTTTTACAGGCTGCTCCACGAGGCTCGGCCGAAGGAGGGGGACGACCGGCCTTTCTTCTGGCTCTTTGAAAACGTGGTTGCCATGGGTGTCAGCGATAAGAGGGACATCTCTCGCTTTTTAGAGGTCAGCTTCTTTACTGATAGTAGTACTGGGATGGATCATGAATGCCCCCTTGTGGCACTAATTCATTATCTTTAGAAACAGAACATTAGAAGTAAACACTGACCCTCTTAATCCTGATGTTTAATGTGCTTTAATATACTCCTAGATAGCGTACTTTGCTCTGTATCTTGCATTTTTTATCCTGTAAGGACCCGGTCAACTATTGGTTTAAAAAGATTTTATAGTTGACATTGTGGAGGTTTTCGGCCGACTCAATTCTTTTAATACCAGTAACACATTGCTTCTATGTGGTAACCGCACTTCATTGTTTTGTCATATATGTAAACTTAAGCACAGCAGAGCATCTCACCTTGGTTGCTGTCTGATTGGTGTTTTCCTCGGCTGTGTTGTCAGTGTAACCCGGTGATGATCGATGCCAAGGAGGTGTCTGCTGCCCACCGTGCCCGCTACTTCTGGGGTAACCTTCCTGGCATGAACAGGTTGGTGGGTGAATGGTGAGGGAAGCAGCAGCCTTTGACATACACAATGGGGGAAAAAAAACAAGCCTGTTACAACAGGGACAACATTTATTAGTACTGCTCTCAAAATTATAGATATATAGATGGAATAGCGACTATTGCAGTTACACATTGACTAAATGAGCAAGTCATTTCCTATTTTGATGTTGTTTTGTCTTTGTTTTGTTCACAAGCATTTCTATTTGTAGCCATGTACAACAGACTTCTCTCCTAAGGGTTTTTGCGAAAGGTAAAGGAAAACTTAAAAATAAATGATGATCCTCCACCTGTCCCAAATCCTGCACCTATGTTGCAACTATTGAAGTTGATTGTTGTGGATATAAAATGCAGAATGATTCTGCAACTGCAATGCCTACTCTGAAATACATTTTCCAGAAATTGAATCAAGAGCAAAAGACTGCTGACAGCCAAGAGGGTGGGGTGTTCATTCAGTCAGGCATCAGAATAGTTCACACTGTACAGAATATTTGGCATGACATCCACTTGAAGCTACGTCACACATGCCCTTTTCAGACCACACTCAGCAAAGTCAAAACTCTGCAATGGGCTTTGTCAGTCATCAAATTTGTGCACAACAAAGTTTTAGAAATGAAGTCCAAAGTCCAAAGTTGTAAATACAAGTTGTGACTCCTGTTCTTTCTCCCTTTTAGGCCTTTGACTGCGATGTGCACTGACAGACTGGACCTCCAGGGCTGTTTAGAACACGGCAGGACAGCTAAGGTACGTAATGTGATACTTTTGACTGAACTAATGACACTGTAAAAGGAGTGCATGCATAACCTGATTGAGAAACCATGATGTAGTGTCCGTAACTTTAGATTTGTATTGCATTCATTTGTTTAAAAAAAATATCTTGTAGTTCGACTGATGTGATCACAGAAAAAGAAATGATATTTTCTCTGTGCTGTATCTGTGACAGCAAGTGCAGTTGGATATGACAGTCTATGATGTTTCATATATTCAAAAACATAATACATGACATTAGTTGGGAATACACAACTTTGCACACTGGTGGCTCCCAGTGGCAGCAAGAGGTAGCAGTTTGAAAATCCATCAGTCAGTACTGAGAAATCAAGTAACTTTAACTTAGTTAACTGCACACAAGATCCTCAACCATCGTATTTGACCTTTACCACTTTGATGTGCATCAAATGAATAAAAACATAAAGCTAAGTAATACTTGTAGACTGATATTATATTTCTTTCATTCCCTTTTTTCTTTCAGTTTGACAAGGTGAGGACCATCACCACCAGGTCTAATTCCATCAAGCAGGGCAAGGACCAGCACTTCCCCGTCTACATGAACGAGAAGGAGGACATCCTCTGGTGCACTGAGATGGAGAGGTATGTAAACGTAAAAGATCGTCCTTTAAATAACTTTTCACAGCGAGATCAAAATCTCAAGATTATCTTCCTGTGTCGTCCCCTTGTTTTGCTCCCTGTCTGTCTCGTGTCCTGTGGTCTGGCTGGTTGCTCCTGTCAGGGTCTTTGGTTTTCCAGTCCACTATACGGACGTGTCCAACATGAGCCGACTGGCGAGGCAGAGGCTCCTGGGCAGATCATGGAGCGTCCCGGTTATCCGCCACCTGTTTGCACCACTCAAAGATTACTTTGCCTGTGTTTGAGCAGCAAGAAAAACTCGCTCTGAACCATTTAGAACTACAACTGTATGTTGTTACTAGAAATAAGAGCCTTGATCCTCAAATTATACTCTGGTATAATTTGCAAGCAAAACATTGACGTAGATTTCACATTATTTCTTGTATTTGAATTGTAATTCTTATTCTATTTAATTTTGATATGTCATTTTACCTTTTAGCAGTGTTATCAAGTATTGTTGATTTTTTTGTGCAAGCTATACTTGAGACTATGCTTTCTTCTCAAGACACTGAGACAGAAAAGTGCTACATATGTATTTTAAAAGAGATGGTAATGCGATGGGAAACATCAGAAAGAGAGAAAGTGGTTTTGAGATATGTGAAATGTTTCTGCTGTGTGAGCGTACTGCGAGATTCCCACCTGCAGTGCAGCCATGCTTCCAGCTACTGAGCCTCACAGAGATGTGAAGAGAAAGGCTATTTTCTTCAGTGTCAGGAGAGCTGTGTCTCTGAGAATCCAAAACACCAGATCACATATACCTCTTTGTTTACAGTTTCTATACACAACTGAAGGTAATAAAAGGTACTACTGTAATATGGTTACAATACCATGGTGCTCCAAAATGATGAGAAACATCATAGCCCATGTGGCACTACAACTTTAGACAATACGGAGCTATTTAACCTGTTGCTGGAAAAAACTTGTTTAATGTTTTTACATTTAATGAAAAAAAAAATCTGTGCCGTTTTTGTTCACTTCAAAAGGAAACATGGGAGTGACAGACAGTAGACTGCAAAATGGAGCATGTCCTCTTTTCTGCATTTTACAGCTTTTATACAGTTTTTACTGGTGCTCATTTAATCTCTCAGCCTTGCTGCGCTCAGGCTCACTGCCTGAACCTGCACAAACAGAAAATGAAGCTAGCCACATGGGAAATGATGTTTTCTGTCATTCAAAAAAAACCTTGAGATCAAAGTCTGTGGTGAGCTACTTTTTTCTAGTTTCATCCTGACCAATGACATTACTGTACAACTGTTAGTAAGCGTGGTGGCTGGAGGAAGGGGTAGGGGTGACCAGCCTGGGTAACGAAAGTTACGAATGTAACTACGGTTCTATGAATCCTAGAGGACCGCCAGAGGCGGTACTTTAAGCACTGGATTCTCCGTCTGGTTGAGTAGACTGGTTGAGGTGTAAGTGTGACAGCACCTTAGGTAGAAACACTGCCTATGGCCACAAAGTGACACCTGAACCATCTGGATTCCACCAAAGACAGACAGAGTGTGCAGTTCACTGATGCGCTTGGCTGACGTAATGGCAAGGAGCAACACCGTCTTAATAGATTCCCACCTCAGCTCCACCTGTGCCAGGGGCTCAAAAGGAGGTTAGCATAGAGCGTCCAACACTAGGGGCAGGTCCCAGACTGGAGCTCTTGGGGTGCTTAAGGGACACACCCTCCGAGCCCCCCACTGTGTTATTGTTGACTCGAGCATGCCAACGTGACATAGCAGACACATATACCCTCCAGAATGATAGGTACAGTGCATTGCACAGGGTCCTTGCCCCGGCGTACACACCAGCGTGAAAAGAGTTTCAACCTGTTATCATACTGTAATCACATGGGTGGTGCTCTGGCGCCATCAATAGTCTTCCTGCCTCCATGCAACTTCCTCCATGCAACTGCTTCATAGCGGCTTAGGCCCTCCAGGGGACAAACGCACAACTGGGATAGGAGATCCTTCCATTCAGGGAGGCACCACAGTGAACCACGGCAGAGCCTGCGCTGACCCAGTGGACTGGTCTTCTCCATCAAGGAGAACCAAAGGGGGCAGTGGATCGATGCCTCTGATGCAAAGAGATCCATTTCTGCCCTTCCCAAAAGACCCCAGATGGTGTGCACCACCTCTGGATAGAGTCACCACTCCCCCATTGGGGGCTTGTGACGGGAGAGGAAGTCTGTAGCCTGGTTCCTCTCCCCCAGCAAATACATCGCCTGCGAGCTGGTCAGCCGCGGGGCTGCCCGTGTCAGCAGGTCCCGGGATGCCCTCAGTAACTGTGCTGATTTGGTGCCCCCCTGGTGGTTGATGTAGTACATGGTCGAAGTGTTGTCTGACCAAACAAATACATGCTTCCCCCTCAGGTATGGCAGGAAGTGTTTGAGAGCCATATGCATCGCCCATAGTTCTAGCACATTGATATGCTCTGTACAGTCCTGTACAGACCGTTGCCCCTGTACCATCCTGTTCTGCCACATTCCGCCTTAAACACAAGAGGCTGGCATTGGTTGTGACGTTTTTTCTGCAAGATGGGACGGAGCCCATCGGGACACCCCTTTCCATGTAAGACTTCTCCTTCCATGGGGTCAGAGCGAGGAGGCACTGCCATAACACTCTGAGCCTTCTGTGTTTGTGCTATTTGGTATCCAAGTGGAGCCTGTTCAGCCATTTTTGCAGGCTCAGAAACAGTAAGCTCAAGGGAACAACGGTTGAGGCTGCTGTCAGTTTGCCCAAGAGGCGCAGGAAGTCGATATACGGCAACAACTTGCCCTTGTGGAAGAGGGGAAGGAGCCGTAGAATGTTGTCCACACAGTAAGGGGATGGACAGGCCCTCATAGTGATTATGATCAGAGCCACACCAATGAAAAATGTGCTCTGAGAGGGAGTCAGTGAGCTCTTCTTGAAATTTACTGTGAGACAGAGATGGAGAGACTGAATGGAAGCACCTGTAATTGAAAAGCGGCCTTGGAAGGCAAAACGTAAAAACTGCCTGTGCTGAGGCGCAATGGGGACATGAAAGTATGAGTCCTTCAAGTCGGTGGACCACAGTAGTGAACCTGTGAAGCTTAAAGATGAAAAGGAACAGATTCCCTGATGACACCGGAAGATATACCCTCAACCTGCTACTCAACCTGCGCATACGCGAGACAAAAGACCCAGTGCTTAAAGCCCCGCCTCTGGCGGTCAGGAAGGATGAATTAGAACTCTCCTCCTCGACTTCCACCTCTCTAAACTGAAAAACTGTCAGGTGCAAATCCTCAACAATATGGTGCGGCTTCACAAAGTTCTTCTACCTTTTTATAGCAATTTTGTGCTGTTTTATCAACATTATAAAGCACTTTTATATGTATACTTTCTTTTTTCTTGATATTTTTTTAAAAGAATATTGGTTCTTGTGAATTGTTTTTTGTTTTGTTTTATGATGTGAACTGATCTACCCTCGTGTAATACTTTTTGTATACAGTAGGGCTGTGCCAATAGAAGTGAAAGAATGGATTTTAATGTGTGAAACCCATGTTATTTGTGTACAGTAGATGGATCGGCATTTGTAACCCCAAACCCCTTTCCCTTTCTTCCATCATCCATATTGTTTTACTGTTTTAAAGCAGCGATACAGTATGTTACTACCCAGATTCAAAGAATGTCTACTTCTATTAAGATTGTAAAATGTAAGACAGAGTTAAAGAACTCTGTCATGTGCTTTGTGTAATATTTTGTCCCTTATGAAGGACAGTTGGCCTCTGCCATTTCCCTGATAACTCGTAGTCGTCATGTTGACAAATTTAAGTGCTGATCCAAATTTGGATTACATTCACAAAACTAAATTCTCTTGATTGTAACCTCTTAAGCTAAACATGGAGGATTTAGGCTGCAGTTTGTCAAAACAAAAAACTGACACAGTGTTTGACAAAGATGTCAGCACTCAAAGAATAAAGAGGATAATAAAAATAGATGCTATCACTTATCTTTATCATATTTAAGATTCTAAATTTGAAATTTAATTTCTTAATGTAATTAATTTCTTAAGTGACCTTATTACTATAATTTTTTGTCCATGCACACTGGGCTCAAAATGAGCTGCTGTGCTTTGTGATATTTTAACCAGATGTTATTCCCCTACTCCTTCTATAATACTTAACATCCCCTCATGTTTGTACATTTTGTACATAGTTTTCCGGTTGCTGTTTTCAATTTTTTTTTTTTTTTTCAATCTTTTTTTTTTTATGATTGAGATGTACAAATATAATTCTTTGCTAATATATATCATCAAATTAGAAAAAAAAATTCTTAGGTTAAAAATTAAAATCAAGTGACAAATTTGATTCAAAACTTGCTTTGAGCATTAGCTATAGGGAGACTCCAAGTCGACATTTTTTCGTACTGATCTTGTTTGTGTCAAGTGAATCCAGATTTAATGTCATGTGATCTTAATAGTGGCCTATGGACAGCTTTAAGATGAACGGTCTCAACTTCACTGCACAGCCCTACATGGTGGTGTTTTTTGCTTCTGTTTCTTTTGTAAGAATTTAAAAAAAGAGGGATTGTAGGTGTTTCCGATGGTGCTAAACATTTTATCTAATCGAGAAAAATATATTTGATTGGAAGAGAAATAAACATGTCTTGACAATGACTGTTTTTAAGTTCCTTGTAGTAATGGAAAAGAACTATTATTTCACTCATATAAATATATTAACAAAGGCATTTTAACTTTGTACTTGAAAAAATAAGGATAACAAATAATGAAAGGTTTCCTATATTGTTTTAGACTAGAGATTGCTGTAGTTGGTGCTTATCTGTGGGAAAATCGTGTGAGAAAAAAAAACGGTAATAACTTTTACTGTAGCATAATGTACGCTTAATACGCATTGCTTCTTAATCCTACATTCCATGCCGTAATATTCTCCATGTCTGTTTTCAAAATGTTTTGAATTGATGCTTATTTGTTTTGTTTTGGTTATTTTTTTTATTTTTATTTTTTTAATTTTAAAATCAGAAACGTAAAATTTTTACTGTTCAAAGCAGGTCAATAATTCTATATTCAGTGATACTGTTGACACTCTGTGTGACTTTCTTTCTGTCATAACTGTTTTATGGCTTCTACGCTTTTCCTCAAAACCAGTTCGTACAGCAAATGTAGCAGTCATTCTCCACTTTGAACCCCCCATACTTATGTTTAGTGTCCAGAGAGAAGATAAAGGCTCCGTATGCTGGAGAACACTTGAATAAATGTATTGTCTTTGTGCAGAAATCTGAAAACTCCTGTCCTTTTTTTATTTGTTTAATTCAAAAAAATAAGTCACATTAAAAGTCCCTGAAAATGTGGTTTCAAATCTAAAGCATTAAATACTCAGAGTTTAATGTTCTTTAATCAAAGTAAGGTTTTATTTATTAAAAATTAAACTCTCAAAAACTCAGTTAACCTGCCTCATCAGGACAGTGTGGGCGGAGTATAATCAGATTTGATTGACAGTGGCCTGAAAACATAAGCAAACTATTTTGATTTAAATATTGGTAAATTCTGACTGGTGACATTTTTTTTTCCCCCACTCATCCCCACCCACATCAAACCAGTGAGAAGAGCACAGAGAAAAATAACAAAAACAGGAAATTTTACATGTGAAAAAAAGAAAAAATGGTCAAAATTTAGCATAAATTTAGCCATAAATTGTGAAAGTGTGTCTGTATAATGTGGTACCAACATGCTGACAGTACAGAAACTCACAGGTACGAGGTGCCTGATCGTTAATGTTATTAGTGACACCTGTGCTTTGTACTGTTGTCAATGTTGATTACAACTTCTGCCTCTTCACAAAGTGTTTTTTCATAAATAAGTGTCGCTTTCTCATAATTATGATTCATTATCTCATAGAAATCCTGACTTTGAGGTAGCATTTTATAGCTAATGTTATTGTTAATTTCCAGTGGGCACTTGTTTCCCTTACTTTTCACAATCCTATCTACCTTGTCGAGTTTGATTTCTCACTTCAAGGCTCTAAATGATGTCCTCTGACAGACCAGCTGCCAAAGTCCAGATAAAAGAATAGACAGATGTTTGTACATTCAAGCAGTTGCATAACCTAAGGAGCAGTAGCAGGTGTTTTGTAGACTTTTGCCCTGGGTTGTGCCTCTGAGGTTACAGTACATAGAGGCTGTCCTAACTTATTGTTGTGGCTGTGTGCAGATTGAAATAACTGCAGATATTTACTGAGGGCTCAGAAGGAAAGACACCTCCTCTGCCTGTTTTTCAGGTTTAAAAAATGTAATCTATATTTTTTATTTACAGTTAATATTCTCCTTAAAAGGTGCTCGAAATGACCATTAATCAAAGATAAGACTGTAAAGGACTGCACAATTTAGATGATGCACAAGCACCATTTATCTATCATTAAGTATTAGATTTCTATCAAGGAAACTGGACATGATTCAAATATGGTAAGTGCATTGATGATGCTTCAATTATTTATTATCATGGAAAGCACTTTCAATGTTATCTCACTTGCAGCGAATGGCATTTATATACCTCTATGTTTGGTTGAAGAACCATTTCCTTAATTGCATCCCCATTGTAGTTCTGAAACCAAACCTATGCCCTTGGTATAGCTACAGTCTCAGAAGCTGTAATTATAATTAACTACCACATAATTATGCAATGATTAGTCATGATTATGAAGAATTACGCTTAATAATGAATTCCTTTTAGTGGTGGAAATTAGATGTCAGCAACACACACTCAAATTATAATTAGGATTATATCATGACTCTGTGGTTTAGGTTCTAATTGTCAAGAGGTTGATAGAGGAGATGTGGAGATTGATTTTCAGCTCCAGTTTCCATGCCATCATGCCCTCCAGGAGGGGATTTTGTGTGTGTGTGTGTGTGTGTGTGTGTGTGTGTGTGTGTGTGTCTGTGTCTGTGTGTGTCTGTGTGTGTGTGTGTGTGTGTGTGTGTGTGTGTGTGTGTGTGTGTGTGTGTGTGTGTGTGTGTGTGTGTGTGTGTCTTGACACCTGGGTCCCAGCCACCTTCAGTGCTTAAATCTAAAATAAGGGTGTTGCCCTGCAGCTCCTCTCTGATCAGACCTAAACAAATCATTAAGCCATTAGACAGTTTATGGGCTAGCACTTACATACTTGTCATATGCTCAGAAATGTAGGATTTATCCGTTTTACATTTCTTTTTTCTCCAATAATGAATATATCAAGCCCAGGTCATGTAAGATAACACATAAGGGGGGATAGGCTATTAATAGATCCCATTAAAGTTCATAGAGACATGTAAGTCATTAAATGTCAAAGAAATGGTAATGGTCCATTATGCAGCCTGTAGACCACTGTTGTTTTCATGCCACCCTCTTCCTCTGATAGTGGTACAGCCTCTTCATGGTGGACACGCCCAAGGTCCAAAGTAATTGGTTGCTTAGGCGACCAAGCCTTCACTCACCGTTTCTGATTGGAGCGTCGCACCGTCGCACGGCATGGATGCTGCGAGCCGCGTCAAGACAACCGCAGACAGATAGAACGGTACCGGAACACAGGAGATTCGCCTACAAAATAAAAGCATAAGAATGTGTAGGGTAAGTGCCAATGAAAGACGTTGACTGAAAGACTTTTAAAACGTTGATCAGAGATGGCAATGTGGCAATGTATTGCTGTCCGTGTTCAACATGAATGAGGTAAGATATGTGCTTATCTTACCTTATTCATTCCTTATACCTTATTCTTACACCTAGCATTCATTATTACAAAATTTAGAGGCGTTTATGCAAATTAATTAGTCCTGCATTTAATTAAAGTACAAAACAGTACACATGTGAGTAAGGTCACCATATACACAAACATGAACAAAACACATAATAAACAAAATAGCAGAATGATACATCACTTTTGCAACCTGCTCAGCAATCTGTTTTTGTTAGTTGATCAATATTATAGTACTGATTTTTAAATGTATAAGTATCCCCTAAGGTTTAGAAAAATCATAAGTATAGTATTATGTGAGTAAACAGCCTACATTACAACATGTTAAGGCAGTAGCAGTAAACCTTTTCCTAAACCTATTTGTAATCTAATGGCCAATGAAGGCTATTTTCTTGATCAGTGCATGGTGAGGCAATGGTGTTTTGCATATGGGACTGTTGATAAAAGCTGTGAAAATTACATACAGGGGAAAATTTGTTTTAATTTGATCCATATTCTTTCCTGAATTACGTACGTCGTATGTCTAAAAAGTTGGAAAGGGCAACCATTTGGTTTTATTTTGAAAGCCAAAGCCGGAAGACTTACTTGTATCTCCTTGCTGACTTGACGGTGATGATGCTGCGGTCTGCAGGTCCCAGACCGGCTAGGAAGGCATCCATCTGGTGTGTGTGTGTGTATCTCCTTGGGAAGTGCCATCCACGGATTGTGTTGCATTCTGTTCCTGTCAGAAAGTATCCAGCGATCCGAGTGGAGCAGCAGCAGCAACAGCAGGCCTGTAGAGGAGGTACGTGGTGCACATCATCAGCTTTATTCTGACTAGTTGGCTGCAGTGGCTCTCTCTGGAGGGCGGGGGGGGGGGGAATCCTCTGCTGGAGCTTGGAGACTTTGTTTCCATGCCCCCTGTCTACACGTCTGGGTGTCTGCCCTGTCTGCTGTTCCTGTCACCCTCCCGGGACCTATACACACCCTGAAGTACAGCCACACCGCTACACCTGGCAGGAGGGCTGAATGATTACAACGCGAGGCCACTTTGCGCTGTTAGATATAGTGAGCTGGTCATTGTGGAGGAGGCACAGGAGGGACTTGGACGGACAGAGAGCTGGGAGGCGGTGTCTAGGTCGATAATGAACGCCGTGCAGCCGTTCACGCCGGATGGAGACCGGTTTCTTTGTGTCAAGTCGCACAAGTAGAGGTGTCATGATCTCACAGCGTTTACACCTCACCAGCAAAATCTCAGGATTTACCGACCTAATCATTCTGGTTGATGCTAATTGACTAATGCGCGGTTTGCATGTGGATTGTACACATGATATTTGTTTATGGACAAATCAAATGTAGAAATATAAAGACATTTAAGTAAGAAACAGGGCCTGTAGTTTCATAATTGTACTCTAAGTGAAATTGAAAACACTTGATTTAACTGTAGTTCATATACTGTGGTTGTATCATCTATAATCGATTTCATAATTTCTCTACTTTCTTTACACAGATTTATTTTGCAAGTGTTAAACCAGGTAACACAAGCTCACCTGTTTATTATTTACTAACCGGCGTCAACTTCCATAGTGGTTTACTGAGCTGAAGGCCCTATAATACAACAATAACTTTATCATAGCCTGTGGCTGCTTCCAGGTTTTGGGAAACGGAGGGAATAATGTACGAGTGTTTCACCTAATGACTTGCAGCCTGTTAGTATTAATGCATGATCATTTCAGAATGAGCCACCCTCCACATTATCACCCATCAGATCTGGATGTGTGAAGGAGTCCATGCCATGCAGTAAAGTTGCCGCACCCTCATACGTACGCATCCTGCACGCACACTTAGACGCAAAGGGCCAGGGTGGACACACACACACACACACACACACAGACACACACACACACACACAAAATACATCACATCATTAATACAGTTGTGTAAAAGGGAAGGGAGGAGGCAGATCGATTGTGTCTTTGTTGTTGATGGAATAGTTCACTGATATTGTGTTTTTCATTTCATGCCTGCAGAGGTAAAACTATTCTATATTTACAAGGAAACAGGAGAGAGCGGATAAAATAAAGATAAAGATAAGATTTTCTGGAGCATAACTTGTTTTTTTAATTATTTCCTACCCCAGTAATCCTTTGGTGATCCTTAGATACGTCTTGCATCCCGTTGTGGGGGTACTGAGCCACTGATTGAGAAGTACTGGAGTAGAGCAGAGCTACTTGGCATGTATGTTGTGTAAGGGAACCCACCTCAACTTACTTAATTGATATCGTTCTGTCACTCTGGTTTTTTCTATCTAGCTTCATAGTGAGTGAAAATCATTGTAAGTAGCTTTATGCTGCCTCAGTCTTTTCAAAAATAATGGTCTTATTGACCCTTGTTTGCCTTCTTGTGATCCACAACTTGACTCACCACTACGTCATGGTCTACTGGGACGTCAGGTCACAGGCGGTGACTGACACAGCCTCCTCAGTCTAGTAGCTGATGTCAGACACAGCCTGACAGACTGGTCTCAGAGCAGCATCACTGACTCTTATCTCTCCTCTCTAGTCTTTCTACACTGTCTCAGAATGAGGTACTGTAAAATGTTAATTTTCGCTAGTTTTTTGTGGAAATGGAAGATGTTATTGTGCCACATCTGAGGACCAAACTCTTTAAAAAGTTGTAGTTGCTGTAACTTTTCTTGTTTTCTTTACATAGCCAGCTCACCACTGTTATAGCAGCTACAACTGATGCTTGACAGAAAGCCTTAAATCCCCCATTGTCACATCTATTTTTCTCTTACAGAGCTATAGCCATGTCTTCCAGCTCAGCGATGGTGCGGATCCTGATTAAGGGTGGAAAAGTGGTGAACGACGACTGCACCCAGGAGGCCGACGTCTACATCGAGAATGGTATCATCCAGCAGGTGGGGAAGGAGCTGATGATCCCAGGTGGGGCCAAAGTGATCGATGCCTCGGGCAAACTGGTCCTCCCCGGGGGCATCGACACCAGCGTCCACCTGGAGGAGAGCTTCATGAACGCCACCACGGCGGACGACTACTACAGCGGCACCAAGGTAACGTCCTGTTGGAAATGGAAGGACAGAAGAAGAAAAAAAAGGGTTTAGATTGCAAGTGACATTGTCCTAAATGTAGATGTAGATTTGTAGATTAAGACTCAGAGAATCATTTTCTATCATTAAACTATCGAGGGCAGTTTTTTAACATTGTTCCACTGATGTTAATTTTATCCAAGATGTCAGTGATGCTTCTTGTTTTTGGTTTTGATGCGATGAGACCGCTTTCCTGATATTTTGGGATCAAACATGGTGGTTATTTTAGACAGAACTACTTTTGCAAAGTCAGATGTCAAAGAAAGAAACAGGATGTTAGAATGTAGTTAAGACAATGAAACTGCAACAGTAAAAATAAAATGAAAAATAAAGCATTAAAATAGAATGAAAAAGTGTGTTAAAAGTTATTAAAACTAGGCACCTTATGGTAACAATTTGAATATTTTAGGTAGACTGTATTGCTTGGACATATGGTCAGATATTTAGTAATTACATGCTTTGGATGATCTTCCCGCAATGGCATCAATTTTAGAAGTTGAACCACATGTATTAGTTGATTAATTGATTAGTCTGTGGACATCAATTTATCTGATCGACTCTCTCAATCAACCTCTAGTTTCAGCTTTTCAAATGTGAAGCTTTTCTGGTTTTCTTGCTTTTTATACACTTTGTAAACTAAAGCTCTATGAGTTTTGAACTATTGGTTGAACAAAACATCTAAAGACGTCACCCTGGACTCAAAGTTGCAAGTGATTGTCCACTGCTTTGTTTAACCATGTTGGTAATTGTGAACCAGATAAACAGTGGACACACACATAAAATAGCAAAGAAACATTTAAAAATTGTAGAACAAGCTCCAGCGTAAAACAACGGACCACCAGGTGCAAACCAGATGCACCTTGTTCACACAAGGATGATTTGGCACTTTGCTGTTGGCACTGTAGCCGAGCAGGCGAGGCTAATAGCTGCCAGGAAGACTGGAACGGAGTCATCTTGGTTGCTGATAGGACTGGGATACCCCACTCTGCTTCAGGGCACCATGATGACTCATCACTCTGTAGCACTTTGAGATGATAGGAGCTGAGAGATGACGGACGCTGGGATTCAGATGTTTCAGCGACTGGGCAGACCGGTGGTGACAGACACTATTCTCCACTGTTCTCTCTCTCTCCTTGGCCCCCCCCCCCCATTCCTCCTGGCCCCTCCCAACCCTCTCCACTGCTGCCGTGCTCCAGAATAATTCCAGAAACAAATGCAGATGAGCATCTGTTTCCATGGATACCACAGGGCTGCTGCAAAGACTGCCGCAAAGCCTTTTCACTCACGCTATTGTGCTTGGAGACAATGGCTCTCAGACCCACACCCCCCTCGGTCTTCCCTCCCACTACACTACTCGACTCTCTCGGGTCAGCTGACAGATGCTCAGTGAAGCATGCACTTATACACAAAACACACTCTGTCTTCACTCATTTGGATTATTAAGATTTACTCTAGTTTAAAACATAAATCTGTTTTTGGAGGATAAAAATTAAGAAGTGCTGATGCAGTAGATAAATCCTGCAGTTATAGCTTTAAATGCCTCTTGATTATACTGTGAGGGGCAGTCAATCCTGGATTTTAACTGCTGAGGATTTATATTTCCCTCAGCAGTCATCTGCATATAACTATAAAGATAAGCATTAATGGCAAATGAGGCTTTTACTTTTATGCTTAAAGCAGGAGCTATGTTGATTAGTGGATTACGGTCTCTTCAGTATTTACAGACTTAATAAATCAATATCTCCTGCGATAGTGTAACTTAATGCCCTGGTTTATTGTTGATTTCAGTTAATTTAAAGGTCTGCTTTTCAGTAAACCTCAGGTCATATTAGTTTTACATTGCAATTGATAAAAACACGGGTGAAATTGGGACAATGGAGCCTTCGCACAGAAGATCCCATTACAGAAAAAGTCATTTCCACAACAAATGACAGAAGCAGTACAACACATTAACTTAAGCAATACAACACATTTACTTATGCATATTAAGTAACAGAATTACATCCTGCATTTAAGTGATTGGGTGAGTGAGTGCTATTCTGCATTTCTTCCAGGCGGCTCTGGCTGGCGGTACAACAATGGTGATCGGTCACGTTCTGCCAGAGAAGAATGAGTCTTTGCTGGAGGCCTACGAGCAGTGCCGCAGCTCGGCGGACTCCAAAACCTGCTGTGACTACGCTCTGCACGTGGGAGTTACTTGGTGGGGACCCAAGGTACCCAGCCCACAAGATGGATTCTTTTCTTCACAATTTACGTTTAAAGACAAATTTTACATTTAATCTGCGATGCTCAGGAGATAGTTTGTTACTCTTGTAGCTCTGTTCGTGACATCCTACCATGTGTTTTGAAAGCTTCCCAAGACTAGTAACTTTCAGCTGCTCATATGTGTATGTGGAAATGGTTATAGTGAGAACAATACCTGATATAGAGGGTTTTACTGAAAGCATATAACTAACTAACTGAGGCTGGTAGAGATTTTTTTCTCTTTTGTATGATGTATAATTGTTAAACATGGGTCCATTTGCCCTTTGGTTGTTTTGGTTTACACCAAAACCTGATGTTTACAATAGACATTCTGGATTATCTACTCTTAAACTCTATTTATCTGCCAGATTAAAACAAATAAATCTCAATAACTGGTATGGACACGAAAATGTACATTAATTGCTGTTTTTATTTGTTCTGTACAAGGACACTTTTCAGGTAAGAGATGCTTGAGATTATTTGTACCTTCTCTTGCAGGTACGAGCTGAGATGGAGAAGCTGGTGAGAGAGAAAGGAGTGAATTCCTTTCAGATGTTCATGGCCTATAAGGACATGTTCATGCTGAGAGACAGCGAGCTTTTCCAGGCCCTGCAGCACTGTAAGGACATTGGAGCTATCGCAAGAGTCCATGCTGAGAACGGGGAGCTGGTGGCAGAGGTGAGGGAGAATTGTAGTGTGTAGTAGTATACGCAGATTAAATACTCAAAAATGCTTGGTGTCATTGCACTTTTTCTAAGATTTTATTGATTTTCACTTATTCTGTTACGGTAAATAGTCTGAATTGTTTCCAAATGTCTCTTGTTTTAATTGCTGTAAACGCACATAATTCATGGCATTCTCTTGTCTCTTTTCAGGGTGCAAAGGAAGCACTGGACCTGGGCATCAGTGGCCCTGAGGGGATTGAAATCAGCAGGCCTGAGGAGGTATGATATTCAGGTTTGACTATGTTACCGCTTTAAGTGTCTGTCAAACTAAATTAAATAACTATTATATCCAGACTCTTGTCAAAAGTATTACTATTGTTTCTGTGATGAAATAAATCCAGTGTCTATCTCAGCACCTCTGGAAAACTATGACGATTCCTCACTGGCTTCTGTGTTTTCACAGCTGGAAGCAGAGGCGACCCACAGGGCAATTACCATCGCCAACAGGGTGAGTGAGATCATTAGTACATATAAAAACATATGTAATGCAAACCTACTTTATGTTAAGACAAGATCATTTTCAGCCATGCTAATAGCAAAGCTGTAGGGATGTCGGTCTGCTGGTTGGTCTGTTTTTTTGGTCCAGGCTGAAATAACTCAACAACTATTGAATGGCTTGCAGTGACCTTTTCATTTAACCCCGTTAAAAGGGTGAAAATAAAAATTGTCCAACACTTTGGTTTATGACCAAATACCTGAAAAATAATGACTTTGCTATCAGACTCAGCTGTACTTTGTGTTTGTGCTAATTAGCAAAGTTAGCATGCTAACATGCCCAACTAAGATGTCAAACATGGTAAACATTATACCTGCTAAACATCAGCAATGTTAACATTATCATTATGAGCATGTTAGCATGCTGACATTAACATATAGCTTAAAGCATCCCTGTGCCTACTACATCCCCACAGAGCTGCTAGCATGGCTGTAGACAGTCTTGTTAAAATTATAATATACCTTATATATACCTGTGTGTGTTTTCTTGTAGGCCCACTGCCCGATCTATCTTGTGAATGTGTCCAGTATGTCTGCAGGAGATGTTGTGGCTACAGCCAAGATGCAAGGTGGGGCCTATTTTCTTTTACATTTAGTGTTACTATTTTAGGAGTAAGTACAGTACAATTTTATGCACATCTACATTCCACTTAGTTTAGAAAATAATATCTTAAATGAAATTATAGGACATTTACTTTTATGTTTACTTGGTCACTGGCATATTTCCCTGAGTATTTTAGAGTGAAGGTGGTTCATCTTTTAATCTCTTGATTGTTTAATCTCTGCCTCTTTTCTTGCAGCACTCCTCTCACTAACATTTGATCCAGTGTATGTTCATATTGTGCTGTTTGACCACAGGTAAGGTCGTCCACGGGGAAACAACCACGGCCTACACTGTGCTGAATGGTATGCAGTACTATCATCATGACTGGGCCCATGCTGCTGCCCATGTTACCGTACCCCCTCTTCGCCTGGACCCCAGTACTCCCAATTTCCTAATGAGCCTGCTGGGAAAGTATGCACAAGAGTATAAAATCTAAATGCAATAGAATGCGAGTCTTTCTGTTAAAATCCTATATGTGACCTTCCATTTTACTCTGTCCCGCCCACAGTGACACTCTCAACGTTTTGGGGTCCGATCATCGTCCATTCACCATCAAACAGAGAGCCATGGGCAAGGATGATTTCACAAAGATCCCCCATGGGCTCCCTGGTATTCAGGACCGCATGAGCGTGATCTGGGAGAAAGGAGTGGTATGTGTAGCTCTTTTGTTCCCGTCAGGCTGCCAGAGAACTTCCATAAACAGGACATCTGTTTTGGTTTTGGAGGATATCGATTTTAACTTGAAAAAAAATATACACTGACAGAAGAGGCACAGAAAACATCTCCTACTTTTAGTGCATCAGTTGATTCAGTCAGATTTTGCATATGAATTGCTCTCTAAGATTACAAACATATTTTAATTTTTTTCGTTTGTCATAACTCACAGATTGGAGGTAAAATGGATGAGAATCGCTTTGTAGCAGTCACAAGCTCGAATGCAGCCAAGATCTACAACCTCTACCCCAGGAAAGGCAGGATCATCCCAGGAGCAGATGCTGATGTGGTTGTCTGGGACCCCGAGGGATCCAAGTATGAAACTGGATCCATCCATTCATCGACCAGCTTGTCTCACTACGCCTCTCATCCCATATCTCAGAGGCTGATTAGGTTTAGCCTAGTTTAAATGGGTCAACTCTTTCTTTCATCTTTGTCTACAGGACCATTTCTGTGGATAACCAGGTCCAGGGAGGAGATATAAACCTGTATGAAGGCCTTCGCTGTCATGGCGTGCCCCTGGTCACCATCAGCCGTGGGCGCCTGGTCTATGAAAATGGCATTTTCACATGTGCTGAAGGCTCTGGAAAGTTTTGCCCCCTGAGAACCTTCCCAGATTATCTTTACAAGAAGATGGTTCAGAGGGAAAAGGTATCAGACAGAAATTAGTTCATGAAGTCTCAACATCGAGAGGTTTACCATGAGTTAGCCGAACACAGACTTTGATCATGTGTTAACAGAAGCCCTTTATCAAACATTGTTGAATAGTGTCTTTCATTTTCCATGGAGACTTTATACCAAACAGGATATACTGTACAGTTTAACATCTAATGATGTTATTTGTGTGGCTATAGACAAGACATACTATATGTCATCACTTCATCAGTAGAAACACTTATACTGTTAATACTACTACTAATACCACAGGTGCCGCAACCTCTACTATACTGGTTCAACTGTATGTCGTCCATCTACTAATAGTACTACTACTGTTACTGTACTATTATTGCTTTAATTAACATGTTCATTAACCTGTTTGTTCATTTGCGTCTCTTGGCCTCCCAGTGCCAGGCGCTGAAAGCTGTGGAGCGGGAGCCATACACAGGTGAAGTTGTTGCGGTGGCCAACTCAGGAAAGAGGGACTTTGGGGCCTCAGATCTGGACACTCCGACACGCCCCTGCACCAGGCACGGGGGTGTGAGGGACCTCCACGAGTCCAGCTTCAGCCTGTCTGGTGAGGACCAGTAGATTCATACAGGGATATGAGGAAATTTGTTTTTCATGTACTGACATGTTGTGTGCATGACATGATGTATGCGTAAGAGAAAGTATTTCTCAGGCTGCGTCCGTTTACAAAAACTGAAAACACTGGTAGGTAGTGCATTTTTGGTATAATCTGGATTGCTGCATTTTGGCACTGCTGTTCCGGCCTTTAAAAAAATCTAAAGATTGGCCTGATGAGGGAGCTGTAGTTTAAGTAACTTGGAAAGTTACAGTGACAGTGCATCTTATCAGCCACACACAGTCTGTGGTTGGCCCAGAGTACTACAGTTACTCAGCTGTGGGGCTGAAATGTTGAAAAACATGTTTACACAGTATTTTAAGCTTTTATTATGACAGATTTATAATATCGTCACAAATTGCTTTTCTAAAGTAAAGGTATAAAAAGCTTGGACCATCCTGTTTTTCAGTTTTATTTTTGACATTTACACATATTCAGATCTAGGAGATACTTAGTAATCCTTTTAGTATTTGGGGGTATTTTTATGCCTTAATTAGAGACATTTGACAGCAGAGAGCAGACAGAGCATGAGGGGAGGGACTGGGAAGGACGTGTAACAAAGGTCTTTGACCAAACTTGAACCAGGGATGTTGCGGTTTATGGTTGGTGCCTTAAACCCTAGACCTCTGGGGAACACCCACCAGTATACTTGTAGGTCATTGAGGAATAGTAACAGAGATTTTTTTTTTACCTCTGACAATTGTACAGTATCTTGCTGCCTGGGGATTCGTTTTGCCTAGAAAGATAACATAGTTTTCTCTCTTTGAGTATGAGCATTATTCAGACTTATTCTATTCTGATAATATTTAACATCCAATAACAATAAATGGTTTGAGCAGCATTTTAAATGGCATGAGAAAAATTGCTTTGATCTTTTCAAGTATGTTGCAATCCTTAAATCTCATTGGAACCACTTTGGACTAATTATAAGCTGTTTAGAGAACCCTTTACAATACCATAAGAAAAATATGTTTGAGCTGCTGTTAAGTACTATTAGGAAAAGCTAGTACCTTGTGCTTCACTGCTAAACCTGAGTGATCTGGTGTTTTCAGGTGCCCAGATCGATGACAACATTCCAAAGAGATCCTCGGCCAGGATCCTGGCTCCTCCTGGAGGGAGATCCAGCGGGATCTGGTAACTAATTAGTTGGTTGTCACATGAAGCGGAAGAATGATACCTGAGGGAAACATATGGCCAAGCAAAGATGACTTGTTTTTCTTTGTGAAAGCTTAGAATACATGTGGGGTAATGGAGTCATGTTTTCATTTTGAACTCAGCACATTTATTTAGGATTGTAAAACATTAAACTGTATGACATTGCCGTAATAATATTGAACATGGATCAAGGTAAACCTTTTGTTAAGTGATTATAGCTACCAAATTTCAGTCAAGTTTTAACAAAAAATATGCAGCAAATAAAAAAGATAAGTTGCCAGTGAATTACTTTGGTTATTGGATTACCTTAGGGCAAAATAGTTTTAGGAATGTGAGTCTTGGTTTTTATGATGCGATTGTGTTACCTCACTGTAAAGTACAATTTTGCACTTGTATCATGTACTATTTAGATGCCTTTTTACATGATTTAATGTCACAAATGTCACAGATGTCTTTTAACTGCAAGTCATGGTGAATGAAATGTAATAAATTATTACAAGGGTGTCGGCATGACCTTAATAAGGAAAAAAAAAAAAATTGTTGCAATTGACCAATTGATGAAAAACAAGATAATGCAAGATAACCTTTTAAATGTGTTTGTTTATTTATTTTTTATATTGCATTATTTAAACTATTTCCCTTTGATGCTACTGTGTTAAGAGTTATTTCCTGAAAAAGAATGAGGTCTTTGTTCAGTAGTTCATCATTGTCAGATTAGCATTTCAGATCATGTTTACAGCCTTATAGCAGAATAGACTTCTGTTCCACCCCTACCAAATGTGAATGAACCTATGCTGTGTACTGTGCATGGTAGCATAGTTAGAACTACTGTAGTGAGCACTAATATTGCAGCATTCTTTGTGATCGTACTCATTTTCCACAGACAGCAAAAAGTCTCACCCAAACTGCCTTTTTCTCACCTGAGAACACTGACACCCTGAAACACACCCTCCCATACTGCCGCTACAGGTCATGACCTCTGACATGATGACTGCTGTCATTTCTTTTTCCCTATTTTTGATTTGTTCTGGTCTGAAACTGCAGCGTTTAAAACGTTCCTCTGACTGACACTTCTAATGTAACATAGCACTGTGAAGCTTAGAGAAGGTGAAGAGATCCTCCTTAGCATTCACGCTGAAGTTTTAACAGCAGAGATATTAGTGAATGAATGCTGTTTCTTCAGGGGATCAAATGCCGTCACATGCCAGTGAAAGCTCGGCTTCATAACTGGAAGGCATGCTTGTTTAGCAACTACAGAAAAGCACTGATACTTTGTCAAGTTCTCAACTACTGTATTTTTATTGTTTGTTTTTAGTTACAGTATTTTTCTTGTGAATAATTGTCTTAGATTTTGATTTTGTTGTATTTTTGTGGAAACTGCAGTGTAAGCACGGATGCACACAAGATTTAGCTCATGTTCAGAACATCATCATGCTACAGTCAAAGTCCCATGACGTTGTTTTTTGGACAGATTTCACTTTTGATCTTTAGAAACTCCAGCAAATCCTGTTGTGTCTTCCCCCTCCAAATGTACACTGGTGCTGAACAATGTGTTGTCACATTGAATTCCTTTTCATCTCTTCATTTTTTCTTGCAGCTCTTTATCACATGATTTGAGTGCAAATAAACCACAATGAATCTACTTCATCTGAGTCTGGTGTCTAATTACTACATTTACTCAAGTACAATTTTGGGGTACTTTTGCATTATTTGAGTACTTACAATTTATGCTACTTTATACATCTACATTCAGAGGAAGATATGGGACTTCTTACTCCCCCTGCAACCATTTGCAATGGTTACTGGTTATTTTTAAACCAGTGGTTTCCAGCCTTTTGGGCTTGTGACCCTTTACAAAAAAATTCTCAGATGGTTTCACTTAAATAACTATTTAAGTGCCAAAAAGGTAAAACTCCAATATTTCACAAATGCAACAAAAACAAAAACAAAAACAAATTTGTAGTAGATGATCTTCTAATCATCTCAGAAGATCACCTAAGATTTATCTTGTGACCTGTTGGAGGGGGCCTGATCCCATGGAGAGGAACCACTGGACTACAGACTGTATGTAGTTAAAACTGGTTCCACCTACAACAATAAAATGCTACTAACAATCGATATATCAGAAATAACAACATAATAATGCATTCAAATAATTTTGAATGCAGGACTTTTACTTACTATGAAGGATTATACAGTGTTGCTAGAACTGAATCGATTAGTTGATAAGCAGTTTTATATCACTTTACACAAATATATTTGTGTTTTAGACTCTAGATCGGACAAAACAAGACATTTGAAAATATTATTCCTCACATCAACAGTTAATCAGTTAATCAAGTAAACTGATTAATCGATAATGAAACAAAAAGTTAGATTCAGCCCTAATCGTTGTATCTGTAGGCTACTTGTGCTTAAGCAAAGGATCTGAGTACTACATTTCTTATCCTGTAGCACATGAAACATTGATATAAGGCATTTTTTGTGTGGCCTGACCTCACTAAAACCTTAGTCACTAGCAGGCCTAAAATCCAACCAGACACATCATGTGTCTCTTAGCTGGAACAGGCCAAAGTCCTATTTATAATGAACCTTTAGCAGCATGGAGTCGGGCGCATGCGCGGTGGGAGTTGGATTGTTGCAGCCCCAGACAGGGCGGCCCGTTACCAAGCACTGCACCGCGCAGGGTCTGACAACGACGACAGCAACGGGCATTGACAGGAATACTGCCAGCGTGATAACAACACAGACACTCCTGAATACAGTGAGTATAAACGCATGAAGAATCCGCTGACCCACTCTGTCCCGGTCGTTTCTCGCTTTGTGCGTGTTTGCGGGGGAGCTGTGTTTTATTCCCAGGCACTGAGGATATTTCCCGTGCACTGACAGTCCTGAGGTATTCGGGGAGGCCTGTAGAGGGGGCCGCTAGAAGACCAGCGTTGCGGGTTTTTTAACCAGAAGGCACCAGGCAAACGGACACATTTATTGTTCTCAGCTCGGGCTTGAAATGTCAGACCCCCGCCCATTTCTTCTTGCTGGAGTTCAGGGTTTTTGCACTCAGGGTTTTGCTGCAGTCATTACCAGAGCTTTCGCAAAGGCCCGGCAGGTTTTTGGAGAATAGATTGACTTCCCTTTCGTGCGCCGCCCTCGATGCAATAATCCATATTTATTAAGAATTACTTCCATGCAAAGGTCTGCGCCTGTTAACGTAGTAGAACCTGGTAGTTTTGTCTCATAAACGGGTTTATTGTTGGTTACGCGGTCGTAGGTTATGATCATGTAATTGTAGGCTAGCCAAGCCCCATGGGAGAATGCTGGTGTAATGTGCGCTGCTGAAGGTGCATTCACAGTGTCAGTGTTATCACCAGAAATCACTGTAGTGCACATTGCAGTTAAGCGTGATTCAGTTGTTATTTGTGTGAATCCGAGAGACATGCTGTCATCTCTCCCTGGCAGTCAGCTGCAGACACAGCGGCGTGTGACCTTAAAGACATCATTTAAAGTCTCTATCTCGCCTGCGTTAATGTGCATCTTCCTTTACTGCAGGGAATATCGAGGTGTCATAGTCCCATTCTGACACGACACTGCTGAAAAAAGTGAGCATAGAGAAGGCTGGAGCTGTCAGATGTGTAAAGCTGCTCACAAACATCGGGATATTTCTGTTTAATCTAGGGAGGATTATGCTCACAACACATCTGTAGATTAAAGCTAAAGATGCCTCTCAACCAGGCACTGTGTTTACACTCAGAAATCAAGTGTATTTCCCACAGGCCAATATTGCTGGTCTCAGTGGGCTTTACAGGCCAACAACTGCAACAGTTTCTGACCCAGTCCAGGATCGCTAATCTGAGAGGACAAGGAAAAAGCCCCCCTCAAAACTTTAGGACATATGGGAGAAAGTGTAACCTCCAGAAAGTAACTGTAAAGAGAGACCCCCCCCACCCCACCCCCCCACAGATTGCTGTGGTTGCAGTTAGAAAAATGTCAACTACAACATATTGACAGATATTTGTAACACTATACAGATTATAGGGTTTAATACTAATGCTGCACATTCTGTATGAGAACTCCGGGATGATAAAACCAAGCAATGGATTCAGTGATATTAGTCTAAATAATGAAGTCTAGAGCTGAAACTATTGGATCAACTGTAATGGCAGAAAATGAAGCAGTTATTTTGGCAATCAATTAACTGTATATCATTCACAAGTAAAAACATCAAAAACATTTCCTACTTGCAGCTTCTCAAACGGGAGGATTTTGTTGTTTTTTTTGTCTTATGTGACACTAGTTAAGTTTTGGGTTTTGGATTGTTGATCACAAGTTATTTGAAGACATCAACTTAGTCTTTATGGAATTATAACAAACATTTTTCACAATTTTCTACCCCAAAGGATTAATAAGAAGATAGTCATTAGTTGCAGGCCTAAATAATTCTAGTGTCAGTTCTGCTTTCTTCTAAGTCCAAGATGTTTGCTAGGTTGCTTATAGGTTATGGGAAAGTTAACTTGACCATATGAAGTTCCATGAACAGCAATCAGTTTACTTTCATTTACATACAGTTGGTAATCAATGACAGATGAACCAATCAGTTTAATATATTTTATGATGACTTTGTTGGCACATGTAGATTTCTTTTTGCTCTTTAGCTCTTAACCTAACCAATTTTCTCTAACTAACTAACAGACAAACAGAAATCCAACTGAATACCCGTTTCTTTCTTTCTGTGTTGATTGTTTCAGGTAGGGGATGGCAGTGAATGTGTACGCAACATCTGTGTCCATTGACAACCTCAGCCGACATGACATGCTGGCATGGGTCAACGATTCTTTGCATCTCACCTACACGAAGATCGAACAGCTATGTTCAGGTAAGGCTGAGAGTTTGCAGTCCCAAAGGTTTTAATTGAATACTATTCAAAACAGGACAACAAAACAAATGACTGTGTCTTTGTGTTCTCCAGGAGCTGCATACTGCCAGTTCATGGACATGTTGTTTCCAGGTTGCATCCTTCTGAAGAAGGTCAAATTTCAAGCCAAGCTGGAGCATGAATTTATACACAACTTCAAAGTTCTTCAGGCAGCTTTTAAAAGGATGAGTGTTGACAAAGTCAGAATCACTTTATTATCTTATTATTATATATTTTACTCAATAAGATCATTTATGCCATCATCTCCTACTCCTACCTAAGATGCATGTTGTATCACATGGAACTATTCAAGCATTTCCTGTTTCTATTCTCCAGATAATTCCTGTAGAGAAGCTTGTAAAAGGGAAGTTCCAGGACAACTTTGAATTCGTGCAGTGGTTCAAGAAGTTCTTTGATGCCAACTATGACGGGAAGGAGTATGACCCTTTACTAGCCAGACAGGGGCAGGACGTGGCCCCTGCCCCCAACCCAGGTGATCACTTTATCCACAAACCAAAGAGAAACCAAGGTAAACCAAACAGTTTTGCCTTTGCTGCACGGTCTTGCTGAGCTTTGGATGGCTCAAAGGCGCTCCCTGCAAGCAAGTGGTGTGAGCAGCACGATTCACAGAATGACTGCTGTCTTCTTTAGATCCATCTCACTGCCCAGCATTCACCAGCAACATGACACTGTAGGTATGAATGGGTCACTGGTGGGAATGTAGTAATTGCCACAGTGCATAGTGGGATGCAGCAGTGGTGGGGTTGCAAATTCACATCACGCAACTTCAGTTTTCACTTGCTTTCCCAATTCTAATTGATCATGAACAGTAATGCCAGAAAACCTACAGAAATGTCAAATGCAACTATTTTCTCCAGTGTGCCGCATTACGCAGGTGACGCAACACTGTTGCAGCTTCACCTCTCTCAAAGCTAGACTGAAACAAGAAAGGGTTTCATTTTACTAACAAGAGTAATGTCAGCCTGACCAGCCTTGCTCTGTCTCTGTGAAAGCTTTTTGCTTGAAACTCATGGCAAACAGTCTAATTTGATTTGTAGTGTGTGATAAGCCTGCTTTGTGACTTTGTCACTGGCAAGCAGTGTGGTTGTAAATGGGCAGAATGACTGCATTTATTTCAAAACTGTAATAATGCGTGTTGGCATGGTTTGTCTTTGAGTTTATTTGAAACACCTCTGCTGAAGCACATATAGAGGTTTGGCAGGTTCTTTCCGTTATTTTGCTAGTTTTACTTTATATGTTGGCTTTATATGTTTGGCAAACCAATTTTTTACCTTTTATATCAGTTCTGTTGTAAAACTATTCACAAAAATAACCAATTACCAAAGACACAATATTATGCTACCAGCTGATAACATCAGCTCTCTATAATGTGCTACATCCATCGCCACAGTTGCTACAAAGCCAAAATAAATGCAGATATTCTGTGTTCATTCAAATGCTCAACATCTCTCACTATCTCTAACCAATCCAGGACCACAGAGGACATCTCCAACAGTTCCCAAAAACATGCCAACACCACAGCGGGTCCAACACAACACTCCAGCCCTGAGGAAGAACCCACCTTTGTCTAGAAATGGGGGCAGTGATGCTGAGATCATGGAACTAAATCAACAGGTAGAGTTGCATGGACAGGGAGGAGAGCCACGATCTGAGACCATATCATCTTCCTCTTACCCTTTTTTTGTCTCATGTCTAT